TCGACAAAAAAGCAATGGGATTTCTCCATAGGATTTTGGAAGATAGCTCGAAATAAGGTCTGTGGAAAACAAACCTGTTTGATAAATCACGTTTTGTTCAGCCGGATAATCTCCACATGTCTACCCTACTTTTATAATTTTCTAATCATAAATCTAGTCGCCATAAGCAAAATGCTAACCTTATGCTATAAAGGAACAACAGCAGGGTCGCTGCTTCAACGTCACGCCGACTTAAGATCCATATTCAAAAATACAGATTCAAAATGGTACAAGTTGAAGCTTTTGTTTTAACAGTTTGCAGGAGGCAGGTACTTGCTTTCAAGCAGAACAGGGCAAACAAACTTAGCGGGAGTGTTTACGTGTTCGGTGTAATGACGTAAAACGGCCTCGACCACTTCTGTAGTCCTATTCAGCAACTTGTTAACAACCATCGTTTTTCAGACACATAAACTCTTCAAAAATCACCAGTGGGGTCACTGCTGATGTATTTAATGCCGTAGAACAAAATGTGATCTGTCTCTTCAATGTGTGTCGAACACAGACCTTATTTCCAGATATTTTCCAAAATCCTATGGAGAAATTGCATTGATTTTGTCGAAGGAACCGGAAGTGGTAAAAATGCTAACTTACTTCCGGGTTTTAGGACGCGTCACTGTTAAAACCGTTAAAACATACAATTTAAAAAGTATTGCCTGAACTTCTTTATTTTACGATAAAGCCTATAGTAAAAAGCTGTGTGATCCGCCTTGAATGTTATAATGTTATAGTGTTGAGTCTTCTTGAAAGTCATCCATTCTTGAGTGGTCTGTCGTCAAACATATAAGAGGTGTGTAAATACATGTAATAGATTATTGGTAGCTGTTAGCGCCTCACCTTGTTGTCGTTAAAAGTGACAATACTGAGCTTTATTAATAAAGTGATTTGAGAGTAATTTGTCCCCATTACATCAAACATCACAGTCGAGATAATTGTGACAAGATGAACAACTAAATGAGTCATGAGAGAGTCTGACCTGTTTGAAGAAGTTGGTGACGGTCAATGTTGCTGGACGGAAAGTGGCAAAGTTACACATGTCGTCCCCAACACTCATCCGCTCGCACCCCTTTTTCTTTCTGTCATTCCATGTTCCGTGGCCTTTTCGCTCTGGCAGGAGGAAACAACATCACGTTAGAGCGGCATGTGCATGAATGTGACCGCTACAGGGCTTTGTCACTGTAAAATAAATGCTCTGTGTACCTGCATGCTAGAACATTTTGTAAAACCTAGGATGTGTTTTAAGTACCAGAGTCGGAGTCAGGGTCCGAGCGATCCAGACCCCCCACACTGCTGACGATGTTGAGCAGGTGAATGGCCGTCCAGGCGAAAGGCATGCGGAAACGGCCGAGACGACTACATGACTGCTCTGCCTGCAGACGCAGCTTCTCCAGCTTCTCCTTGTGCTGAGCAGACAAAATATCATACAAAAAACATCAAAAGATAAAGTTAGGCTGAAAATAACTGCAATGGCCAACCGAGTTGACCCCTGCCAAAATGGATGGTAAATATTGCAGCTTCCCGGACAGAATTGGGTAATGGTTTCTGACTAGACAGTAAAATGGTCCAATGAGCACGCTGGCCGCCAGCCCTGAGCATTGCAACAATCTAAACAAATATGTTTTTGGCTCCATTACCTTGGAGGAATCAGACTCTTTCATAACCATGTAGGGTTCACAGCATTCTCCAATGTCCCCTTGTTGAAGGACTTTCTCAAGCTGAAATACAAAAAGACGGTTTTTACACCATAAACAAGATTTTTTTAATAACACGCTTATATTTGACCTTAGTTAACCCTCCTGTTATCCTCAGATTTACTTTACACCCTTTATCCATGGGCTCAATTTGACCCCAGTAGTTTAAAACTCAAGACAATGATCATATTCCACATGTTAACCAACATGTATGTCTCTGGTGCTTTAGGTATCTTGGTTGACTACCTAAATAACCATTTAAATAAAACATTACCCCAACCTTCCCCCCCACAGACCCCTTTATACATCCAGAATTCCTATTATGTGACTATCGAAAAAAATATAAATCACCATAAAATCTCACTGACTGAAATAAAATGTTAAAGTAAGATCTTTTTGATGTTTTTAAAAAGGACCAATAACTAAAGCAGAGGGTCTTTTTTTTTTTTTACAATGATATATTTTGCATGTAATAGTCACCTCAATATCATCCTACACAATCAACACAAATATGTATAAAATATTGACATTGTTATATGTTTTTTCCTACCCCAAGGAACACCGATGCGTGCAAAGTGCGTTCAGGACATTAAAAAAAGATCTTCATGTTCATTTTATGTTTACCCATTAGTCCTCACTAAATTAGGAAAAGTCATGAAATACTAAGCAAAACAAATAATGTGAACCATTTTTTTAGACATGTTAAACATTGAATGGGGTCAAATTGACCCCAAGGATAACAGGAGGGTTAAGCAGCATTTAAATGCCAAATGAAATGCAAACAAGGTAATACAATTCTTTTTTTTTTCCATTAACATAAAGTCAGATTCTTCTGTTTACAATTAGGTTCTCTCAGTACCTTAATGACCAAGAAGATATCGGCCGAAGGGTAGGTGATGGAGAAAATGGCAGAACGGGCCATTGTGGAAATGGCTACGTGAGGTGTGTGGGGTTTAAGCATTCCTTTCATCTGATCTGAGTTCAGGTCGAAGTAGAAATTCTCAGAGATCTGTTGGAGGGACGATGGAGATAAGCAGGAAACAGCAGAGGGAGGGGGAGAAAGAGGATAATGGAAATGCACGTCAAGGGATTTTTATTCAGTTTTAATTCAGTCATCTAAACCGCAAGACCACTTAGAGCTTCTTGAGACAAGGGAAATTCAATTAGGTAGGCATGAGCTCAGCATTACGTAAGCGGTTTTACAGAGTCAAAGTAATTGGTAGAATAATGATCAAATAAAAACTGATATGCTTGAACAAAAAGAAAATACCTTTTTCTTTTCCTTGACGTCATACAGGGCAAGTGTTCCAAATATCGGCTCAATTTCTATTTCAAACCTGAACATCGGAAAAAATATAGTTGGAGAGCATCGTGGGTATAATGATTATACGATTTATTATAATGATCATTTCAGACATATATTCTAAATGTTACTCACTTCAGAGACAGGCACTTAACCATGATCCTCTGACCACAGTGTTCCTTAGGCACTTCAGGGGCAGAGCATCTCTCTACTGCTTCATCCTGTCACACACACACACAAAGAGCCATGTTCAATACACACACCGGCATGACATTTACACAGATGTCATGGCAACCTAGTGGCAGAGAAAGCCAAAGTGTGTACATAGATATAAAGGAAGAAGGATGGAGCTGGAAAAGGAGAACATTGAGGGGGAAGAAAAACAAACAGTTGCTGGGTTTGTAGGCATTATGGACCTTCACTTTAAGCGAGCATCCAATTATGTGACTGAGCTGAACAAATGGAAACTAAATCTACCAACATTTCCAAACGAGTCCTGCTGGTTGTAGTAATACTCTCTGAGATTATTCACTAATATAATAAAAACACGCACTGAGGAGTTTATCGCTTCAATCGTCTACATTTTTAATATCAACACTGATTGGACCTCCAAATAAAAGGGAATATCATTTTTAATATAAATGAGCAATTATTAAAAGCTCCACTATTAAACTGTTTTTCATTAATATATTATAGGTTTCAGATATATACAAAAGATGTCTCTGAAGTGTTTGGCTCGAAATACCAAACAGATCATTGCAGCATCCCATAATCCCCTGTGCTGATTCTCTGTCTGTTACTTTAGATGAAAATAAGGAGCCACTCCCCACGCCCCTCTGAGAGATATTTGGTTAAAAAGAACACAATGGTGCTCTAGGAGGAGATTCAGGTGATAAGGTGTGTGTGTGTGTGTGTGTGTGTGTGTGTGTGTGTGTGTGTGTGTGTGGGGGGGGGGTGTACCTTGGTTGGTTATTGGCTAATGACAAAAATCCCCAAAAAATCGTTATGACATCATAAAGTGGCCAAAATCTGATCAGCTCATTGTCAGACAGGTTTTTATAAAAATGGATCAGGACAAAAAGTGAGAGAATCTTTTTTCCTGAAACTTTCAGAATCTCCTTACAAAGAGGGGACACATGTTTATGTATAAAAGACATCAACAAGCGGATTTTGCATAATAGGTGACCTTTAAGTATCTTCTGTATATTATAAATTCACAGTTTTTTGACAATAACATAGCTTTTACTAGCACAAAGGCAGATATGGGATGGTGTAATTCGAACCTCATCGGGGGGCGGGTAGAGGCCCAGCAGGTCGCTGTGGCGCCCCTGCAGGCGGGCCTCAGTATTGCGGCGGTCCATGTCCTCGGCGGCTGCTCGCTCCAGCACAGACGGCAGGATCGCGTCTGGGGAGGAATTCTTCAAGTCGAAAATACTGGAGGCCCAGCTTCCCCGAGGAGTCTCATCGAGGCTGACTGAACGGCGCTTTGCATCATCCTGAAGCACACGAGAGTGAGACAAAGAGGTGAGATCATGTGTTTTTCTTTCCCCCTTCCAGGCAAATATGTCACCTCAGTGCTCACAGCAGATGATTTAGAAAAGCAAGGAGAACAATATGCTAGAGATCTGATAACCTTTTTACCCCTTTAGTATGACTCATGTGGTGACTGTGGAATGGATAATGGACAAGGTATTTCCATTGATCCATTACTCATTCTCCATATGATCAACTCGCTGAGCACAATGCGACTCATACTGCCTTCCCCGTCATGAGACACAAGCTTTATTGACTGGCTTCACTCTACCTGAGCTGCAACCATTAGTCAAGTAATGGATCAGCCAAGCAACAGAAAATAAGAACAGACTTTTTGATAATTGGTTATTTGTTTGGATAATGTTTCACGTCCGGCTTTATCTATAGTTATTATAATATTAAACGGATTATATTCGGGTTTTAAAACTATTTTTAAAGACAAAACTTTGGAATTTTATAAACTTAGAAGAACATACTTCTTTTTGGGTTTTGGACATTCTAATGACCATTTCAATTGATTTAAAAAAACAAGAAAAAACTAGCTAAGGCCCAATTCTACAAATCTCTTGGTCCAGGTGCCAAATCATAGTTCAGGGGCATATTAAAGCCTTCTTAGCTTTTCCTCCTGGCAAAACTGTAGAGATAAGTAGATAAGTCTAATGAACCTTAAAAGACTGAATGGTCACTCAGCCGTCACGATAACAAGTGCTTTGAACATCTCCACCAGCTACCTGGTCGTCATGGCGCTCCGAAGCAGCCTCGTCCAGCTCAAAGGTCTGTTTTTGCAGCCCTCGCTGCCTCTCCCTCTGCCGCTCAGAGCTCTGAGGGCTGTACGTGGTGCTGTAGCGCTGATATCTGAAGGAAATCAGAAGAAAAGTTCCCCTTGTCTTAATGTTACTGTCAATGATGTGAACAGTGAACTGGGAAAAGTAGATGAAACGTGTACTTGAAGGATAAGTCAGCTACAGCTGGCACCACTTACTTCCTTTGAATGACGAGCCAGTCATCTGTGTAGACTGCCAAGGCATCTCTCACTCTGGGATCTAGAGAGCTACATAGGAGAAAAACACATTAATAATTGAGCAAAGCATGCTTTTAATATTTATGTTCATTCAGTGTCTCAGAGAGAAAGGCTTTGTTCTTATCTCTGGTAATGCCTGTCCTCCATAACAGTTATATTAATCCTCTGTGTGTGGAGCAGTCTAAAGAAGACCATAAAGGGATGTGATGCAGTGCGAGGGTTGGGTTGGCCCATTAGTGGGACTCACTCTTCCTCTTCAGGCAGTGGGGGCTCCAGTGTAATGCACTCTTTGTCCAGCGGGAGGAGCTCCAGGTCGTCCTGGGGGAACTCCATGAGCTGCCGGAGCGGTCCGGGCTCCACCCCCGGAGCGTGACTGCTCACATACTCTTCGAAGTCCACAGGCTCAACCACCTCCGTCAGGGGCAACTGTCAATAAAGGTTAGACTTTTAGGTTCACATTGACATGGCCATAATCACAGATTATTATCTGATCAGCCAGATCAGAAGGACTTACAAGGAGAAGTAGAAAGAGACAGGATGCTGTGAGGATGGGTTTTTTAACAAGTATTCCTCATTTTCAAGGAAACGACTGCTTTTTGCTGTATTAATTCTAAACTACCCGTCGTCCATGTAATGTTGTGCAACAACAGACGTGTTTCCAAAACAAAGATTATTATATAACTTCCCCTTACTCTCTCTTGGGTGGGCTTTCATGCAGAACCCCTGCATGACTGTTGGAAAACACAAGTGAGCAAAAGCAGCTCTATCATGTTTCAAAATCCTGTGCACACAATCATCTGATCTCCTTGTAAATGTCCCCTCTGTGGGGCGAATAAAGGTATTCTGATTCCTTGTATCTAAACTTAAAATGAATAAGCAAGTTACTCATCAACTACTAATCTTGCCAATTGCTCCTTTCATCGGCTGGCAGGTTAAACACAGGGTGACTCACAGGTTGGTGTGCGCCTCGTTTCTTGGAGAGCTGAGGAGAGCCATAGTCTCTGGAAACTTGTTTTCTGACTTCTGCAGCCACCGTCCTGAGCAAGAGAAAGAGAGGAGAGAAGTGTCAGCTGGGAAACACTCAACAATGTACAGACATGAAGATTAACTGTAAATAATTATGTTAGTGGGCAAGATCTGTGCTGTTCAGGATGTATACAAAATAAAGTAATTTGATTTAAGTTGATGCAGAAATGTCATAATCATGCCAATGTTTGCATGCTCAACTTAGGGACCTTAGAAATAAAGCCACAGCATTAGAAACTAGGCTGCATTCATTAATTGTACAGATATCTGCATGAATTAAATACTTTTTTGAATTGATGATGCTAATTATGTTTCAGATTCTGTCCTAAAGTTCTATAAACTGTAAAGCACAAGTTATTTAGCTTGTGGTACTGTGAGGGAGGGCCAGCAGCTGTTCTGAACAGCGACTCGAGCAGATCTCACAGAGAGGTGGCGATCCGGCTCCAGGGAGCAGGCACAGAGCCAGAGCTCTGTCCGTGGCCTTCATGGACCAACGGAAAATGGGAGGATTATAGAGAGACAAAGCAGGAAAAATAAAAAAAGTACAATCCTCTCAGAGACAGCTGCTCCTTTACAACCACATAATGTCTGCCTCTCTCATATACACAGCTGTGAATGCTTCAACATTTCCCAAACCATAGTTCTCATGATTACACAGCTACAGTTCATGCCGTCATTCCATCAATACACATGGACTGTAAAGCAGAGATGAATGACCTCTCGCCCAATCTCTGAGATACAACAAGACTTCCTGACGTGGCATTATTTGAAATCGGTCTCTTTAGAATGTTATGATTTTATAATCACTCGCTGTATCCTTAAACCATGTGGAAACAGTTTGAGCAGCCCTGATTTAAGACAGGAAAAAGGGAAGCTATCGACTGCAAGGGCAATAGCCTGAACACCCCTTCCCACCCTTTTCCTGCATCCGGCACAAAACAATGGACTGGGACGCACTAAGGAGGGCAGACAGGACTTTGGGAATGCAGTGGGAGACTGTCCAAGGAAGCTCATTTCTCTACAGGACATGTTATTGACGATCAGCAGGTAAAGTGAATCAAAACAAAGCCCCCTTGTGATGGTGCCTGGTCAAAAGTGTAAAGAACCGCTGTAATGACATGATTTCAGCAAGTCTTTCACTAAACTAATTTACTTGCAGGTCAATGATAAGAATCTGTCATCCTGTTTCTTTTCTGGAGAAGCTATCTGGATTTGCAAGGGAAAGCTGTTTCTTTAGATGAACTGTGACGACAGGGTGATTTGGTTCAAAAATATAAAACCCAGACAAGCACTGGTGAAAAAAGTTTGGAGGATCTTCATTCATGAAAAAGGGCTATTGTAGCATGCAGGGAGGCACTTGGTTGCAAATACTACCACTGTTGTTATCCCATGCTATTCAAAGGTCCAGCTGACAGATGTGACATGCCTTTACGACTTCTCCTGGAACCTTGTCAATATTTAGTAAGTATAGTGACACATACTAGAGGATCATCCCATGCAGCACTAAACCCTTCCAGAGAAGGGAAAACCAGTTCACAACATGTGGAAACAGGTTGTTACAATAATGCTGCAAGGGGTTCACACGAAATACGAGCAAAATATCACAATGGATGTCACTTGGTAGTTGGTACCATGTTGCTAAGTGTAAAGCAGTTCATATTATTTTGTTTTAAAACTCACAATGAAACAGCTGGGACATTAGATAAGCCCTCTGCTTCACAATGTTATCCTGCATTAACGTTAGCTCATGCATTGTTAATGACAATGCTCCTGCAATGCTACGCTACGGTACTTAAACAAAACATGCTATTTAACTATTCAAAGTGCCAGAGATAATATATGGGAGCCCAAACTGCTTCAATTGAGATGTTTTATTTCAGGTAGGTACAGTGGTGTTTAAACCGACCGGTTTATAGTCACTAATACCTTTCAAATCCTAGCTAACTGGCTATGTGTCCAGCAGGTCACTCTCACGGCACAACTGTGCGTTAGCTGTTAAACAATAACTTCTGTTACTGCCTCACCGGTTGATTTTATGAGCAAACGCCCTCCTCTCGCTCGCGGTAGATGTCATTTCTTATCCCCCCATGTAAAGAAGCTTTTCGAAGACAACTGAAATCACTCTCCTCCTTTGCTTTGGCTAATACGTCCCGTCTTGTCTTGAGTGGGGATGCGGACTTTCTCGGACGGCTTCCTCCTCCACGCTGGGACCGGGTATGGATCCTCCCTGTTCCGCCTAGCGGCTGGGAGCCAAACCCGCCGTTAGTGTCAAGTCCGCAAGGACACATGCACTATATCCGGTGAAACTTAAAAATAAAGTACAAACTAAACCCAGATTAGATAACACATATGCGACAACATTTTAGCTTTAAAGCATTTATTATGTGTTACATGTTTAAGAAAAAACCTCTAAATATGGGGTTGAGTAAAAAAGAAATTCGTTTTATAAAATGTCTCTTTAAGGATCAATAATAGTTCAAGGATAGTTATCATCGCAATCAAACAATGAATCATGTTTTACCTTCAATACTAATAGCATGCATTGTTTGCACAATACATAATTATCAAAGTAAATATCACCGGGACGCTTTACTGTACTTCCGGTTTCACTAGCTTCCCCACTAATTTGACATGCAGCTTGCTGCAGGTGGCTTCATGCAGAAATCTCACCTGACCGGTTTACAGCAACCTGCTACTGTCTGTCGCTGATTCACATCAGTTTAGGGGTTTCACTGGTTTCATTTCTGTGTTAAATTTAGGAAGCAGGACAGAAAAGTTTCAAGCCCTCCGTTTCTCTCACGAGATCATAGCCTACTCTAGAAGTGATTACTTTACTTTCACAACATGACTTTGACTGCCTGGCATGAAATGTTCTATTTTAGTCAAACAGGATTGGAAATTTCTTCCGTTAGCTTCAGCCCTCAAGGGCGTCTTTATGTATTGTTGATGCCAAGTTAAATCTCATTAGAAAAAAACTGCACAATAGCAGCATCTAGAGGTCAGCTTGCACTACATCATCATCTTTAGAGACGTGTTGTACTGAAACTCCAGCAGCAGGGGGCGCTGTTTACCACGATTAGAGAAGAAAGAAAGCCTTGCCACATCGGTGATTGTTTAAGATTCAGTCCTCAAATTTGACCTCTACGAGAAGATGAGAAATAGCTGCGGCTTTGTTTACTGGCTCGCTGCCTAACAGTGACTGCAAAAAAACATCTTCCAAAACAAAAAAATAAGTAGCCAGTAAAGGGTTCTGGATTCATTAAGGAGGGCTAAACAAATATGTCAGAAACTGTTTATTTGACGGGCTCTTTCTTGTATGTTTGAGCAAATGAGGAATGACATTGTCAGTGAGTCTTCCCACCAATGGAGGACTTGTCAGTTTATTATGATGGCAGGTCTTCATCCCCCTCCTCCCTGCCTGCAATCACTCCATACCCCCATGCCTACTATGAGGAATTCATATAACAGTGCTTGCTGCAGCAGCCCTCCCCCACTGCTCTCTCCTTCTACCCCACAGTCGCCCTATTCAGCACCCTGGAGAGCTGCTGCAGGTACTCGGCCGTCCTCTGTGAGATGGCTGATGAATGGCATGAATTCTATACGAGGAATGTGAAAAATGGAAATGGGGGAGATGGAGGTAGAAATTAACCTTGCGTGACAGGGGCTTGGCTGAAGCCGAGCAACGACAGGCGTCTGAGGGATATATGTTTATGTATGCAGCAGCAGTCAGAGCAGCATTAGAGCTCGCAGCCGGCACGAGTCTGGTCCATAGACAATGCTAACGAAGATAAATGAAGCTTGTGCTCACGTCTCTCCCCTTTTACAGGCATGCTTTTATCACAATGCTACCATTTCTTTATTTGTTTTACTTTATATTGTTCTCCAATGTTCAGCAGATTTATTTTTGTAAAATTAAAAACACAATATTATTGTTCCCCAGGAAATTGATATGTATTTACTTTTCAGACATTTCCAATTTCACTAAACTGAATAAATATGTTTCGAATTATTTGCTATAAACTCTTAAGTACACAGTGTACATACACAGTGTTGTGTGATCGTTTGACATTGCAATGTCCTTGTACAGTTGGAAGCCCACCTACTATAAGGGGGCTGAACCCATGCATGTTTTATCCTTTGGTCTGCACCTTCCCTGCCTGCTTCCTTGCCTTTCTGTTCATTGAAGGCTTTCAATTCCTAGATCGGCACTATTGTTTGAGTGCCCAGCCCCCACGGCAGCGAGAGCCCCCCCCACCACCACCATCACTGCTGTGTTACCGAAGAACAAAAGAGAGAGTGTCAGACACCACCCACTAGATCTCTTTCACACCAGAGCCCCCACCTCAGTTCCAGATGGGGTTGCCTTTTTTCAGGGTTTCTCTCAACCCCAAGAGTCCTCCAAAATTGAGGCACCCCTCCCCCTGGACCCCACTACTCAGCTGCCCGTCATCCACCTGCTCCGCCGCCACGCGCCCGTGGCCAGGGCACCGCCCCTCTCCATCCCGCCCCACCAGGGAGTCCTATTAAAATCATTAACCACTCTTTGCTGGGGTCTGCTTCCAGGACATCACTCTGCCAGCAGTAAAAACTTTAACAACATTATCTCCTAAATAGAAAGCACCAACACACATTTTATCTTTTAAATAAAAAGTAAACACAATTCCAAAAAAAAAAAAAAAAATACACATGCATTAGCTGTTTAGAAAAAACACTCATGGTTTCCTAAAGCGTATGATTTACATTTGAAATCATATGTTTTTATAGTCATTCTATATCTTCCTATTCCAGCTGCTCCTAAAACAGGATGGAGGAATTACACCAAAGTTAATATTGTGATCAATAATGCTAATTCTCTCTGTCCTGTGGTGGTGTCTGATACAAGGGGCAGGCAGATGCTCATTTGTTTATATCTCTCAAATCATCAACACGTTGCGTCTTCAAGAGAATCTGTGCTTCGACCTCCACCCCTGAATTGACCTTTCCCCTCCAGGGACAGAGGGTTAGCAACAGGACACATCTGCTACAGGACAGCTGTTACGTCTCATAATGTCGTCCTACAGTCAGAGTGGGGGGCTAGGGGCTAAAGGTAATCATTGCTGAATCACTTAGTTCAAATCTGCTTAATTACTACACAAGATTCAAACCCATACCTCTTGGTATTCCCCCCCCCCTTCTTCATCCACAAAACAATATATTGTGCTAATCAGATACAGACTTAACAAAGATATATTGCATTTCTATGCTTATTAGCTGTCAAACTGTGAAGAATCAATAGTATCGTGTACAGCAACACTTAAGGTTCAGCTACAAATATGCACAGCACACTCTCTCCTCTCCCTACATTACATGCATGGATGCCTGCTATGCCGTCACTCACTAACCAAGATTTATGGAAATGTTCCCTTCCACCTCCTCTGAGTGCAGTGCAGTGCACGGAGCACGCTGCTATTACTGTATGCTTCATCTTTCAATGTATGCAGATATATGCATATGGTATGTTTATGGGTTCTTTACAGCACTTGCTTTATACTTTTTACAGGTTCTGTGCTGCAGGAAATGACTAAACCCCCATCACGATCACCATTACCACTACCCCCATCCCACCACCATCCTCCAGTCCCTAAGGGTTCAAGCACCCAAATCAATTGAAAGAAAGACGAGTGCTCTGTGGTCCTCCCCCTACATCTGTCAGGGAGGGAAAGCAGGAGGGGCCGCACTCACGGGCCGAACAGGAGAACAATATCACTCCATCTGTCACAAACCGTTTCATCTCTGACGGGATGAAATATAGCTCACAAATACATCTACTTCTATATCATCTATGTGTATTCGCTTACCGGTGCCCAAGCCTCTACCAATTACCAGAAGCATACGCACTGGCTTTTTGTCTCACATTACCTTCCTCCCACCACATAGCACTCTCCAACCACCTCTTAAATTATGCTTTTAAGCCAAAAAGCATGTTAAAGAAAATTATTCCACTTTACACAGTAAACCAGTTAATGAAAATGGAAGACTACCAAGTAATGAAATTTGCATGTAAAGAGTTGTCGAATGAATGTGCAGAGCAGCGAACCCTAAAGCTTAATGAAACAGCCCGCACGTATTTTATTTGGGGGAAATACTGAAGAAAAAACAAAGTGAGATGCAATCTGTTAATAACCAGAGAGCTCTTTCATATTTAGATCTTGCTAGTGCTGTGTTTGCAGGATGGGTGTGGCCCGCTGATTCGTCTTGCCTGCTGAGCTGTCGCGGCTTTGTGACGTCCACGATCCCATTTGCTCTATCAAATCATGCAATCGGACTGGTCACAGCTCGGCGCTGAGGAAATAATGACATCCCATGACAATACCTCCACAATGCTTCACACTGATCTCCGACAGAACGAGGTAGCCCGGTGATCCAGTAAGCTGTAAGAACAGCACAACATGGACTGACTGTTTGCTGGAGGAAGGAACAAAAAACTAAAACCCATATCCCCAAGAGCCATCATGTCTCTCTGAGCAGCAGGTAGCTGCAATCTCAGTCATTCATATTTAATTCCACAAGAGTTTCCGGCCAGACTAATGTGCTATTGATTTCAAGTCTCCTATTACTGAACGAGGGAGGGTTATGATGGGGAGAGAGATGGCCTACAGGGAGTGAAAGCAAGAGATTGAAAGAGGAGAGGAGGAAAATGGAGGGTGGAGTGCTAAACCAGTGAGTTTCTCTAGGAAACATTATCATTTTCCATTTATACAGCCCAAGCTATCGATCTAATATTCGTATAATTCTTTGTTGAATACAAATGGAAGACATTTTACATGAAAGCTCAAAGAGTACATTTGGGTTAAATGTGTTGTATATTATTCATCGTTCATTAAAAGTCAGGCCATTTACACAGCTCATGAAGCTGAAAACAGCTGTGCTTAACAGGCAAGCACACTTATATCTCTGCTTTCGTTTTGTGTCTTGTCACTTGTGTGTTTTGTTCATGTCAGATAGAATTAAAGCAGCAGTAGGAAAAGGAGCAGGAAAAAACAAACAAAGAGAATGTCTAAAAGCTTTGTGTATTTAAGGTTTCTCCCTGGATACCAGCTCAGACAGGACAAAATGAAAGATTAATAACCATGGCTTTATATTTAAAAAGGTTTTCAGTAAAACATGGTCCCTGTAAAGGAGGTTAGTCCTTCTTCACCCAACCATAAAGACACACTCGACTAAGGTGGCACAGATATTGTATTAATATACACCGGCACCTCAACTCATTCTTCAGTCAGATAATAAGAATGTGGAGCATTTCCTGAAAAGGTGAAACGCGTCTCGCAATGGAGTGAACACAAACAAACAAAGGATAGATTTGTCAATTGTGAATTAAAAGGAGACACATGGAAAGCAAAATATATTCCATAAATAAAAAGATGACAAGAGAGTCTACTTTAGAGACTTCCTCCCACCAGCCTGTCTACTCTAATAATAGCCCAGAGACAACACATCCAGACAGACAGAGGGAGAGAAAGATATAGAGGAAGGGAGGAGAGAGACAGAGAAAGTGTAAGAGTGAACCCATGAGGGAGACCACAAGAAAATGGCCAAATAATACATAAAGGGTTGAATTAGGCCAGTTGCCATAATCAACAAATGTCCTTTTTTTTTAAAGAGGCTAATTTAATATTGGATCTCTTCCTGAAAGCAATGGCTGCTTCCCTGCTGCTGCCACTGAGCCCTGAAACGCCACGAGCCAGGCCTTGTGGAGAGCAGAGACCACCGAGTTAACCAGACCTGAGGCTGAATCATCCTGCCCATCCCCCACACACACTGTCATAGTGTCACTCTCTCTCATTCTAACTCACACACTACCTTACCGCAGGGCAATGGCAACAGGCACCCTTTTTAACGTAATATCACGAGAATAAGTGGAGAAACAGAAAAGGCTAAGGAATTTAGACATAAAGGGTTTTTGCTATTTACAAATGATCATAATAAATTCACCATGCAGACATTCAACACAAAGTACATTTGTAATTCACATACTGCCCTATAGTTGATGTCCTTGTATAAGTGAAAAGATAGAACAGTATTACTACTGCTAATGGAAGATGCTATGTAAAATATGCGTTTTTGTTGTCCCTACTATAGCTTTGTTTCCGTTCCCACTATAGCTTTGTTTCTGTTCCTACTATAGTTTCCATGATAACTGAATATTTAGCAGTGTTTAGTATGTTCTGCTTGGGCTAATTAACGTCAAAACCAGTGGACTAATTTTGTAAATGCTTAGAGTTCATCCCTTTGGCACCAAGTAGCATTCCATGATATGCCAAGAGAAAAGGACCACTGCAACAAGACTCCTAATCACAACTAGTGGAGGAACCCTCAACAACAAGAAAATAATCAGTAGAATAAAAAAAAGGCTTTTTAGCAAAAGCAATGCTTGATCCTTTGATTCAGTTATGTACAATAGGCGCTTTAAATGCCCTCTTACCCACAGGGAGGATTCAGCTGCCGAGCTGCTAACCGGGGCTCTAATGAGGGGCAACAATTAAGCCCATTTATTCACATTAAGTGTGAACTGTAAGTGGGGCTGCAGTCAGTTGACGAACCTGGGTGCCTTTGTGTAATAAGAGCTGCTTTTATTCAGCAAACAAAGAGGCAAAAAACACAAGCACCTAATGACCAAATCTCTCCGTCTCCTCTCAGACGTTCATACACAGCGGCAGAAAAACACACACATGCGTTGACACACACACACACACACACACACACACACACACACACACAATCTTCCTCCCTCTTCAACAAACTGACTCAAAGGCTCCAACGCATCGAGGCTGAGTTGAGTCACTGCTTGACAGAACGGTGGGGGCGGGGTTAAGACAGAGTGACAGTGGGGCTCCATCTCTATCCTCTTATTAACGCTTAACGAGTGCTTTCCTCATGCAATATTCATCTCCACTAATATCATCCAAGCTTTGAGACGAGCTTGCTACTTATGTAAGGCAATTATGTAAAATATCAGACAGGACCCATGTTCAGAATGTGACTGGAAGAGAGCTGCTGGACAATGACAGAAAGAAAGAGGGGTACACAAGAGTGATTGAAGATGGGGGAAACATTAAGAAACCTACAGTAAAAGGAAGTTAGTTTCTTGCATGTCCTGTTCTATCTCCATCTGAGTAGAGTCTAGACTTCCTCCACATATCCATCAAAGGCAAGTAGTCGGTGTCAATAATGCAAACCGTTTCCTCCCTCGCACCATCCGTCCTTATACAGTAGCAAGAGACGTCAAAGGACTCCTCAAGGTCAGGTAGGGAGAGGCGAGCAGAGGAACTGATTGTTGTTGCAGGAGGACTCACATCAGCACCGCATGTCCACTTAGATTGAAAACACACGCATAGGAGATGTTGATTTCATACAAAGCCATTACATCCTCTCATGAACAGCAACCATAGACCCATACACAAATAAACAAACATACACTGATTTACGCACACTCGCACGCACACCCACCCCCCCAGGTCAAGGCCCTATGGGGGTCTGCACAGAAATAGGTCATTTGTCACACATGATGTCCCGGGGCAGGGGGATGCATTATAGATGAGCCGAAACAGCATGTCTCAGTGAGCACTCAGCACACAGGAGGGAGCAGTAGGAGGTGGGCCGAGAGGGTCCAGGACTCTTCAAGAAGGGGATGTTGGGATGTCGTAAAATAACACAAAAATCACTGCTGGCTACAGTTCTGTTGAAAAAGTAAAGAAAAGAGATCATTCAGCGTAGCCTGGTCAGAACTACAACTGCACCTTTTTAAACGTTTCACTGAATAGACATTAATGAATTCAGGGGGTATCTAATTTGTTATTCTCATGTCTGCACCTGACCCTATAGCTAGCCATCTGCCTTGCATATGAGAGGTCCAGAAATCATCCACCCATTAGTCACATCATGGATGAAATGCTTTGTTTGGAGCCACAATTCCCATCCAATTATTGCATATTTTGCGTCTTTACTCCTATTGCTACAATTCTGTGAATGTCAGACGAGAATGTGTACTCAGAAAGTCTGCCGATCTACACTCAAAATAGCTTTTATTTGCAAAGACAAAGACCAAAGGAGTGAAGTTGTTTGCTATGGTTTCAGACAGAAACGTAAATGGAGAATTAGAGAGAAAGGCAGGGGCTGTGCTGTGGGAGAAGTGAGTGTAAAGTGTGGGGAATGAGAAAGACAAGTCTGCTATCTTCTGCTGCACCCATCTGTTCTCAAAGTGCAGGTGGAGCCCCATTCACTGCGCTCTGCATGTGTGTGTGTGTGTGTGTGTGTGTGTGTGTGTGTGTGTGTGTGTGTGTGTGTGTGTGTGTGTGTGTGTGTGTGTGTGTGTGTGAAGAGGGGGGCAGGAAGAAAGGAAGGGCAGTGAGAAAAAGGGAGTGGAGAGATGGAAGGGCAGGGATGGAAGAGGGAGGGGAGGGTAGGGGAGGGGGGGCTCTTGGTGATCTCTCCTGAAGGGGATAATGGGAGAGGAGCGCATTGCAATGGCTGCCATGTAGTACCCTCCCTGCACAATTAGCCAATCAGCAGCGCGCTCTGCCAGCCAGGAGGACGCATAAAAGAAGAACATTGCAGCAGAGGCACAGAAGGAGAGTGCAAGAGGAGCAGGGAAATACACATAAAAACAGCAGAACCAGAACACCCTCCCCTGGACACACCCTGCTGAGGATCACTGCTTCTCTTTTTTCTGAACCATCGCCCACGCCACTCGGAGAGAACACTCTCCCTCATCATCATCCAGTAGAAAACCCCTTTCTCCTAATTTTCATCCTATAGAGGACACCTACAATCTCAGTGGGCTGAGATTCCCTGGCAAAGATTGTCTTTTTTTCCTTTTTTTCTTTTTTTTCTTTTCATTTGGACTCCTGGCAGAAGGGCCATATAATACAAAAAAAGGCCAAAGAACACATTAAGACTCAGCATCCAGCTTCAAGACCAGTGGAAGGAAGGACCTAGAATTCTTTCATTGTACGTCAAGAATGGTTACTGTACGTATTACTCTTCTCTTATATTTGTGAAAGAGTTGTTGTGGCAGCATGCTTACGTTGTGTGTTTATGTTGGATGTGTTTTGAACTGCAATGCAATGTGGTGAGATGTAGCTATACACAGATGTATTTCTTATTAGCCTATTGATATATTCCTTGTGGAAACAAATGTCTTTTTAGCGGAGCTTCATGGCTATGCCCACATGCCAAAGCATAGAGGATCTTTGAGATTAGCGTAATACGTGTTTGTCCTTTATGCAATGCCGTATTCTTATGATAAGATTAACGATCGATAGTGGCAATTAGAAATCTCACACTGAGTGATGCGCCATGCCGGCTGCGTTCCAGTCTGCAGTCATCATGGGCGATGGATAAAGTCGTTATCCTGCCATTTTAGATAGCACAGCTTTTACGTTTATGTATCACAGCCGATACGAGTGCTTAAATGTCGAAGCTTTGATGGTATTTGCAAAAATGTTTCCGGAGTATAGAGGTTTAGGAATTCCGCAAGATTACTGTGATGGTGATGGAGAGAGGCGACGAGGCGCTGGGTTCGGTGGGGGAGGATTTGCTTTCTTTGCTGGTGCAGCACAAGGATGCTGGAGACGGCTTTCTGAGACAAAACATGATGCCTCGGAGGCTGAGGGCCCATCCAGCAAGGCACAGGAAAAAAGGGTCGAGTCACTCCGGGAGGGGGAGGGGGAGGAGGGAGATTACGCATCCATTGGTTTGCATTGAATCAGACAAAGTCCGAATTCCTCAGGGTTCTCGTTGCGATGCGACCGAGTAAATGGGCTGGAAACCTCTGAGGCCGTGACAGTAAGGACGCACACTGACATCTCCATTTTAAGCACATTTCTTCCAAGTATCGCAAACGTACAAGATGGCCATGCTTGCGTTGCGCGTGTCGGATGAAAGGGATGTGAGCGGTGATAAATTAGCTTTGCTCTGAGCCGACGGCCGGATTGGGCGTGTCTCTGCTGGATTTAAGCACCAAACGAGGGCCTTGAAGCCTCAAAAGGCCCACTCCGATTTACCTCTTGACATGCTGGTTGACAGCACAATTTGTTTATTCAAGCAGAGTAATTAAGACACATTTGCATTTAAATTGTAAAAGCCAGGAAAAAAAGATGTAGCCTCGGTCCAACCTTAAAATCACAAGCAGGTGTTAAAACCCCCTGAAGTGTAAAATGTAAAATCCCTCGATGTATTGAGTAGAATAGTTTTTTATAATATTGAATTAATTGGAAGTATATCCACACACGGTAGAATGTCAGGGTGTTCAGTCTATGACTAATAGTACACAAGATTAATTATTTAACACATAGTAGGAACAGGATGTGAGAGATGGAGTTGGACCCATAAACAACTTTAAAGTCTCACATCACTGAATTTGAAATGGTCTGAATATTCCTTGGAAAGATATGCAAAACGGGGGTGGACGACACTCATCATCTGTGAGCCTCTGACTGTCCACTTGACACATTTCCAATCCCAGTTTTATTTGTTCTCTTTGTTGTGCATTACCTGCAAGGGACAATCCCTGCAGGCCTAGACAGAATCGACGGTAGCTGTAGCTCCCCTCCACATGTCCGCAGTCCTCCATGCCTGTACCGCAGTGCCAAGCAAATAAAAGCGTTGAGTCAGATAACCTATCCAAGGCACTTACACAATTCAAGGACAAGGGCAGCCGAGGCCATCACTGTAAAGCAGTCTAAATGTTACTTGATGTTGCATTAAAAAAATTGAATTATATGTAATGGCTGATGATTTGAAAGGTTAGAGGACATTTATATTCTGTATACAATATAAAACAATAAAACGGCTTCAAGGAGTATTATTTTTACAGTGAAGACATGGCCCTGTCTAACTTATAGGAGACGTTAAATGTAATTATGTTATGTAAGCTGTGAATTGACTCCTGTTGCCAGCGACTTCATGTAATTATCAGCAACAAATACAAAGCCTGTAGAAAGAAGTGAATGTAACCATCTATCTCTGAGACTGCAAAATAGTCTGTTGTGTTCTGGTAACAAATGTTGATCATACATTTTCAATATTATGACAACAAAAAGGTTTAAATTAATCGAATAACTTGTGATTTCTCTGACATTATTTATAATAGTGTACATCCGCTGTATAATCGCCGAGTAAAGGCAGTTATCTCGATTTAAAAAATACTGAAAAAAGGCTATTCATTTTGTCAAGGGAAAACGATCAAATCAGCAAATAAATATCTTGTAATTTAGCATTTTTTATTGAACTATCCTGGCGTTTTTGACTTGTGGCTGGCAACTGTAACAGTCATTGTTCCCGGAGAGTCCTGCAGCCCCTGGCCACGACACAAAGCGCCACTGTTTACATTAATATTCATAGTGCTGCCATAGCCTCTGCGAGGCAGAAGAGGAGGAACGGGTGGCTCTTTTGTTTGGTCGTTTCAATACGTTTATTCAGCAAAAAGGCGCTCCGCTTCATGAATGCCTGCAGAGCTTACAAGTCTTGCCCTTTTAAAAAAGGGGGGCTAAATACAAAAACAAGAGGAATCGAGGGATTATGTTTTGCATCTGCTATATTTAAATATCCGCACAAGTAATTTATTCCTTAATTTCTCGAATGAAAACGTTTTCAAAGTTAACGAAATAAAACGACTCGATGGTCCTTGCTTGATTCTCGGGCCTCTTTGGCCTCACAGCACACCGTCCGAAAGCCACTCCCTTTTTCAGCACGCTGGATAGCACCCCGCATGCTACAAGCACTTGCAGGACAGATTTGTCTCCTTGAGCCTTTGACGTTGTCTGCTCCAATCTTATCAAAGCAGCACATACTGAGAGAGCTGAAATCTTTTAGAAATCTTTTCTTCTTAGTCTGCAGAGCGGAGAATGGGATGGAGCCTCAGTGCATGGCTGACATGGGCTGTGACTCCTGTCGTCCTGTTGTTTTACAGCTGCCACCATGATCCCTTAAGCTGCAGAGTGTGGCTAATACCCTTTGTTTGAGATAATCCTCTAATCTGTGTTATTTAGAGGGCTCATTTACACTTCAGTCTAGCTTTCAGTTTTAAATCATGCCTTCCAGACAAAAAATCTTTATATAATGCCTCATAAAGTGGACTAGAGACAAGGAAGGAGAAATCATTATCAGCATTGTTGGTTATAAATATCTAGGTGGATTACTTCAGTGTTTATTTGGATTCATGATTCACTTTGTCTAGATCATTGTCGTGCTTTTTTTTACACAAATACATCGCATGAATTTAAACCTACAATAAGCCTAAAACGTAGCACGCCCTTTCTCTTTTCTGTGTGCCAAAACAAAATCTTGATGGTGACAATGTCATTTTCTGTCTTAATATCACTTTTAAAATGTGATTCTACGTATATTGTAAAATATAATGTGGCATATCTCATGTTATAACTGGGAGACGATTAATCTTCAATGCATTATAGCCTCCAGTGCTGTGCTGCATTTGGAGCAGAAATGAATTGAGGAAAGTGGTTTATATCAGAAGACAGAGAACAGTGGCTGCATTTACATTTAGTCATTTAATGCTAGTGTACAGTGTAGGTGGTACGTGTGCTTGGCAGTGGAGGCAGAGCTCTTGTTTGCGTGCAAGTCTGGGTTCATGTGTTTGGCAGAGGAGGCAGGGCTCTTGTTTGCGTGCAAGTCTGGGACCATGTGTGGGCGATGCTGATGCAGTACATTAAATATTAAGGGAGATCTCACAGAACCCCAAAATAGAAAAAAAAAGCAGTGTGGGACACAAGTGCTACCCTAACAACATGGATTCTTTTAGGAATTTTGAAAGACTATTCTAAAAAATATATTTTTTTATTGCAGTTTTCTGTCCATTTTATTAAGTTAACAAGAAATTTTTTGAGAGAGAAGCAACAAAGATCCTAAACCATATATATTCCACACTGGAATGTCATGGTTACAAGCTGCTCCTGGGTGGACATTTTCATTGTCTCCACTGGTCGAAAATGTCTGGAGTCTGAAGCGGGAGTCCATCTAAACTGGGCGTATTATTAATGCAATTGTAGGCTGCAGCTTCCCAATGATTTGTTGTGTCACTGTCATTGTAAATTGTTTACTGCAAACCAAACGCTAGACTATTAGTTCTTTTTTATAAATACAATGGCCTAAATAGAAAAAAAAAAACTCAGATTTTCTATATTTCTTTGTTTGTTTCAAAGAAGGCTGTTTCTCTCTATTCCTGTATGCGAATCGTAATCTTAGTTGTTGCTTGTGTCAGCCACTCTCAGCGTGTACTCTGTGGGTCTGTGAGTTATATAACGTCACACTGTTCACTGGGGATGTGTGTTCTGCCATGTTGAGGGTTATTTCAGCTGGCGAGTCAAATTTGCCCTAATATGTTTTTTTTCTCCCTATAAAATGCTTTTTGTCATATCTAGGCCATTTTCAGTTGCTCATATTCCTGTTAGTCAGATGTATCACATCGCACAACAGTGTAGGTTACAATAAAAACAACACCTCGATTCAACCTTTTTTACATGTTAAATGTTTCATAATTCTTAATAAAAAAAGATAGTCGGCAGGCATCTAAGCGGTGCATCAAAATCTTGTGACAGATTGCTATCTACGTTGCAATGCCTTTGTGCGTAGATATGTCTGAAGAGTTTTATTTTTAGGCTGTCTTTACTCTCTCACCGTGCTGCTTCTCCCCTTGTCATTATCTATTTGACTTACTGATATTCCCTGCTTCCACAAAGCCATATACTATTAGACACAGAGGAAGACATGTCTGACCTGCATATCTGCTCCTAACAAGCACAGAGACAAACACACTGAAAGTAAGAAAGCCATTCAGCCATTAGAAACAATGCAGTCTTTGAGGGGGTGTTACCTGGGCAACCGGAGTCGAGGTGAGGCTCAAAGCAAGAGCAGGTTACAGGGACGAGGAGAAAATCCAGGTTATACAAACCCCATCCACAGACGCTGGAAAAAAAGAGAGACAACATGTAATGGCATATAGATCTGAAACAAATGAATTATTTGAGCAATGTGATGGTAACACAGTAAACAAAGCCTGTACTCACAAAACGGTGGTGGATTCAAAAGAGATGGTGAGCTGGGAATTCAATTAACAACCTGACAGACAATTATTAATTGTGATCATTCTGCGGTTAACATAAAAAGAGAAATAGTTATAAAAGTAAAAGCTTATTGTTTGTTATCTCAGGAAGTAATATAAAAAAATCCAATAAAGGAAAACCTTCAAATATAATTAATGATAATAAATAAAAATGAAATCCCTTTTTTACTTGCAGTCAGAGGAGATTTATTAAACTTTATTGACATACATAAATCTCCAAGCTCCAATGGATCAAACCAAGAATCTGACAGAACAATTTATATAATGGGAATACTACCAAACTGTTTATGCATTTCAATTGTATATCCAGACACCCCACACTTTTATTTAAAAAATAAAAAGGATACAGGCCTTTTAATACATTTACATTGTAACAGTCAACTGTAAAATGTACTTCAAATGCACACAGTAATGTTAAAGAGGCCAATTTTATTTGCGTGAGCCAACAACGATAACCTAAATATAAACATGCGTATTTACGTTGACATGTGCAATGAATTCAATATTTAATCAAATTATGTTTGAACATGAAAATAACACAGATGCAAATAAAAAAAAAAGACTTGTCCTTTCATTTAATGTGCACAAGAAAATAGGATGTATACATATTTCTGATAATAAGCCTGAACATTTCATTATTTCTTAAAATCTTCAAATCAAATCACTGCAGCTTTAAAACATTAGCATCACACTTAGGAACAAGACGACAAACATGTCACCTTGAAATGATTTGCCCTTAGTTTAAAATACAGAGTTTGCTGTGATTTTCCATGTAGATTTACACCAGAGATAAAGATCCAGACACAGAGAGGTGGGTGTTGAGAGGAAAGGGAAAGTGGAGCAGGAAGTTTTGTTTTTGGCAACACAGATGTTGCTTGAGGAGCCGCTGTGGATCAAATGAAGCAACACGGTGTACTCCAGAGCAACACAAACACTATACTGTGCACTAATCAACGCCTTTACTCTACTTACACAAATAAGTCAGCTGACCACAAAGACATCTGAACAAGATCTTAGGAACAGAAGTGAAATTCAACCTTATTTTTCTACCAAACTGTGATATTCCTTATTTCCTGTTTCATTAAATCTCTTTAACACAACCCTCCTTTTGTCCGTCACCTCGTAAACCACTGCCACCGTCAAACTCCCCCAGCCTCACACACCACCATCATTATTATCCATCCCTGTGTAATGATGTAATGGTGTTTGACCCTGGAAGAGATAGGGGGAGGGGAGAAGTAAGGAAAAAGGGACTGTGACATCTGCAGGACCAGAGGCTGGGAGCGAGAGAGGGGGAAGATGGGGTAAAAGTGGGGGAGGGGAGATAATGAATCAAACCGTGTATCCATCTCCATTTTAGCAATGCTGATTTCTGACCTTTCCCTCTGACAGTGACAGAGAGGACAGTCTGTGCACGCGTGTGTCTTGTGTGTATAGTTTATGTAAAAAAACACTCCTTTTCTGTCTCTTTGTGAATTATGAATCTAACCCCACCCTCTTCCTCAGCAGATAATCAGCACCATGGAAACCCAGGTGTCCAACGGTCCAAGCGGAACCAGTCTGCCAAACGGTCCAGTCATTAGCACCAATGGCTCCACAGACGACAGCAAAACCAACCTGATCGTCAACTATCTGCCTCAGAACATGACCCAGGAAGAGTTCAAAAGTTTGTTTGGCAGCATTGGAGAGATCGAGTCCTGCAAGCTGGTCAGAGACAAGATAACAGGTACTACTCTTTGTCCACATCCGGAAAAAAATTACTTTACGACTGGCTCTTAAAATCACTGACATTTCAGGGGGTCTTTCTTTGTCTCCAGGTCAGAGTTTGGGATATGGTTTCGTAAACTATGTGGATCCAAACGATGCAGATAAGGCCATCAACACGTTGAATGGTCTCAAGCTGCAGACTAAAACAATCAAGGTGAGCTTTCTACGATAATCTTAAGTATTCTTCAAACCGTGCAAGACAAAAAGAAAGGAAGTCGAGATTTTGTCAAGGGTGTGAGGGGGGCGGGGTGGGGTTGCTAAGAGAGGTGGCGACAGACGTGACAGAGGGAGGGGAGGAAAATGGGGAGGAGGAGGCAGAAGGGAGCGGTCGCCAGAACAAAGGAAGTAGAGAAAGGGTGAAAAGAGCAGAAGAGTGTGGAGGTCAGAAAGCAAGAGGCCGACAGCATGCAGAGGTTATTGTGATGGAAATGTAATTAGGAAGGCAGGCTGTGGTGCACTAGGGTCAGTCCTGGTTACCCCATCTGCCTCTTATCCAGGCTAATTAGGGGCCTTCTTTGTCCCAAAATCAGATGAGGGAAAGAGGGGGCATATTATAAGACACCACTTCCTTCCATCCCCCTAAGTAGATCAAAGATTCAGACAGAACTGCAGGATTGAGAAATCAAATCTCTGCGAAAGCAGAGCAGGTGATCTTCCAACAGCTGTCCATGAAGAGGGACTTTAATTCTGATGAACGGCTGACTGAAGAAACTAGCTATAATGAGGAAGTCAAGAGCTGGATTTGGGTTTCATCATTTCATAATTATGAAATGTCCTGCATGCAAAATATTGTGCACAAAATTGCACTTGTTTCTCTGGAACAACCATGTAGAAAAGGCGTTGATTGTGTAAACACATTATATTGTTAATCTTATGTTATGACATTCAATAATCATTCAATTTATCTATACATACATCGCTTAATCTTTAAATTACATTTGTATTTACTTATTCTCCAGTGTTAAAAAATAACTCTTCTGCTCAAAACCATAGTTTTATCGGATTTTACAGAATGCTTAAATAAAGAGGGGTGACGCTGTGAGGGAGGGGGGGGGCAGCAGTGAAAGGGTAGGGGGTAGCTCGGAGAGCAGAATGCCAATGACAGGANTTACATTTAGCTGACGCTTTTATCCAAAGCGACTTACAATAAGTACATTCGACCAGGAAGATACAACCTTGAAGAAAACAGAATCATATAACTGATGTACTTATATGATTCTGTTTTCTTCAAGGTTGTATCTTCCTGGTCGAATGTACTTATTGTAAGTCGCTTTGGATAAAAGCGTCAGCTAAATGTAATGTAATGTAATGTAAAAAAGGTTAAACTCATATGCTTTAAATTAATAGCTACTTTCAGACCATTTGCGGACAATTCTGAACTATTGTCCAAACCACTCATAAACTACGTTGTGAAATTAATATTATTGTGTCGTCAAGTTGCAGGATATGAAACTGCATATATGTTACATAAATACTGCAAAGTTTTTTAATTTGCATATTTTTTGACACGCTTGTGCTTTTACATTTTCATTGTTTCTAAATCTGCAGCATAATAAAATGGAAGTTCTATTCAAATAATACATCACATAAGGATGATTTATACCAAGATGGGGAATATGGTACATGTTTGGTTGTCAGTAAGACTCCTCTCATCAGATACAGAGTGCTGCCGATTGAATGGAAAAAGCCGGGCTCCTGGCAGGAGCAAGCTAATGTGACCCTGTAGGTTCCAGGACAGCAGTAATGGAAGAAGAGGATATGTTACTGAGAGGTGTGTCTTCGGTGAGAAGTAATCTGAACTGAATGCTTTTGTCACTGGAGGATAGTTTCACTGAGAGACAGAGCAGCGATCAAACAGGCAGCACAGATCTTATCTGTTCTGATTTTGGAGGATGTGTCATAAGGGATACCGTTGCATTATACAGTATTTCTGACTAATGCATCTCAACCTGTTTTGTTTGGGTATAAAGTAACCATTACATAGAAAAAACAGAAACACAAATTAGTTCCTTATTTATATTGACTGAAACACTATAATAGTTTGCCAATGCTGTTAACCCAATTACAGTAAGGGCTGTCACAATGTCCAATTTGTAAAACACATTCATCATGGCAAAAATAAATCACATTAGCATTATTATTGCAATATCTATCTAACATTTGAGGCATACAATATAATGCTATCTGTCAAATTCATCTTTTGACTTATTTTATTGAGCATTTTGTCTCTTTTTGAACCGAGGAACCAAAATAACTCTGGAATATTGACACAATAATACCACCTGTATTGTTGACTTTCTATCAATATTGGATTTTAGCTATAAATTGGCGCTATGGCATTGATTGCAAAAATAACCAGGCACAAAAACATGTTTTCTGAGGGAAGTTATAGAGAACCGCAGTGACGCGTCCTAAAACCCGGAAGTAAGTTAGCCTTTTTACCACTTCCGGTTCCTTCGACAAAAAGGAAAACATTTTCTCCATAGGATTTAGGAAAATAGCTCGAAATAAGGTCTGTGTTTGACAAAAAATGAAGAGACAGATCACGTTTTGTTCTACAGCATTAAATACATCAGCAGTGACCCCACTGGTGATTTTTGAAGAGTTTATGTGTCTGAAACACAATGGTTGTTAACATGTGGCTGAATAGGACTAGAAGTTGTCGAGGCCGTTGTACGTCATTATTACTCCAAAAACGTAAACACTCCTGCTAAGTTTGTTTTTTGTTGCCCCAGCTAAATCGATGTTAATCCATTTATGTGGTTGTGGAATTACTGTACGTTACATTGTGCGGTCGCGTAGTAAGTGAACACCATGCTACCGATTACTATCCGATGACCATGAACGCACCGGACATTGGCTACAACCTCCTCTCTGTCTGACTTCGCCAAGCAGGTAATGTGCTGCACCGCATGCCTCCAATATTTTAATGTTTATTGCAAGTAAATCAATTGTAGTTACATATCTTTTTAAAGCACAAGCTAGCTAAACACATATTAGCTTTACTTGACCGGAGATATAGTGCAGTGGTGAGTCCTACAACCCGGAAGTGAGTTAGCATTTTACAACTATTGGTTCCCTCGTCTCAGAGTCAATGGAATTTCTCCATAGGATTTTGGAAAATAGCTCGAAATAAGATCTGTGGAAAACGAACCTGCTTGATAAATGCACGTTTTGTTCAGCCGGATAATCTCCACATATCTACCCTACTTTTTATAATTTTCGAATCTTAAATCTAATGGCCAGAAGCAAAATGCTAACGTTATGCTATAAACGAACTACAGACCATGGATGTATAATAAGAACCTTTAGAATAATTACCTTTAGAAGTACACCAAAACATAACTTCTAACAATGTAAATGCTGTGTTGGAAACAAAGTTAATGTAAGAAAATGTTGAGTGAAATACTTTTGGCACTGTAAATGTGTGTCAACCTACCACAGACCTTATTTCCAGCTATTTTCCAAAATCCTATGGAGAAACTGCTTTTTTGTGGAAGGAACCGGAAGGCGTTTAGAACGCGTCACTGTGGTTCTCTATTAGTGTTTTAAGATAAAATATTAGAAATTGAGGCTACAATGTTCACAAATACTACAAGTAGTTAACATTGTAGTGAAGCACTGCTATTATAACTATGTAATAATGAGATTGATCTCATCCCAATACACACTCTGCTCCTGTCTGTGTCCATGAAGGAGGGGGACAGACTGAGTGATGAAGACCTCTACAAGTACCTGGCAGATATGCGCAGACCATCATCTGTTCTGAGACGACTGAGGCCCGTCACAGGTAAACGAGAGCATACTTAATATAACTGAAACGGATCATGGAAAGGCTTTATGGATGTTGTGTATAAACCGTCTCCTATCTTTTGTCCCTCAGCCCAGTTGAAGATCGACATCTCCCCCGCTCCGGACTCCCCTCACTACTGTCTGTCCCCGGAGCTGCTGCACGTGAAGCCGTACCCCGACCTGCGTGTGCGCCCGACCAAAGACGTGCTGGAGTTCCCTGCTCGCTACGTATACACCCCTCACACAACCTACAGGTGAGTGTGTTCACCTTAAACACACACACACGTTTACACAAACATTGCTTCAGTTGACCCGTAGAACAAATATTCTTTCACCCCTCCATCACATGCATGACTCAATGTGTTTGTCTAGGTATTGATTTGTCCAGATTGATTTTTTCTGCCTCTCCTTTTTTAACTTAAAAACAAAAATACACATTTATTTTCTTTGGTGAAACAGAATGTTTAATCATTTAGAAAAACTTGATTTGATAGGTTCCATTTAAAAACAAAGATTACTAGTGCATCAAAGTCAAGACTAAGAACAGACACAAACGGAGAAAGCGGCAACAACAAGCACATCATCATAAGAGTACTAGCACAAATGTTTTCTGGCATTAGAGTAGATCTTTGGCACACATTGCAGGCTTGGAAGGGAGTGCAGTGTAGTCTGGGAGACTTCAGTAGTGAATGTTACAGTCTATGTTTTAGCTTCTCTCTGAAAGAAGAAAATGAAACACACATTTAATCAAATATAAACAACAAACGTTCAAAAGACTTAACAAAGGACTCACCATCATCTTTAGTTTGGAGAGCTGCTCATCCTGAGTCTCAATGTTCTTTTTCTGGAACTGGGTCCAATGCTGTAAACCTTTCAAGGTGTTGGATTGCTCCTCTGCTCTCTTCTGAAAACGGCAATATAGTAAAGGGAACTCATTTAGTAACCGATCAGTGACTGGTGTTTAAATACTTCTGGTCACCTTGTGCTTTTACAAAACCAAAAGCAAGCACGGGCTGGTGTGACGGTGAAGTAAGGCTGCAAAAGCATTGAAAATTAATCCTGGTTTTGGCTTCATACTAAATGTAAGGGCTTATATTGATAGAGCAGGATATTTCAATGTGAAAGTGTAATACATGTTGTCCCTAAAATAATTACAATAAATAATCGTAATCTCAACAATGATCCAAAATTATAGGGATGGGTATCGTTTGAAATGTATCGATTCCGGTTCTGCTTATCGTTTCCGGTTCTTATCGATTCCCCGTAAAAGAAAGAGGTCAAACGTTTAGATAACAAAAATATCTTTATTCTTTTAAGCTTTAACTGACATTTTTACAAATAAAAAATATACATGCAATACAAATGTATTGCACAATAGCTGTGCTTTATTTTAACTGAGCTATGCCTGTGGCAAGCTATGAACAGGCATTACACTGTGCCTTGTCTTTTTCTTTTTTAGTGTAGTGGAGCCTCACTTTAGAGCGTTTACCGCGACCCATCTTTGGTGTTATGAAGTGACTGAGCTCGTGAACTGTCTACGGGAGGGCGGGGGAGCCTCGCTGCGGGGCAACTGTGGACCTCTGTCGCCTGTCAGCGCAACTTACATGATGCCGTTTTAAAAAATTAAGGGCGGTGCCGGCCGTCAGCGAACCGAGCTGACCGTCAACGAACCGAGCTGACCGTCAACGGCCCGCTGACGACCGGCCGTTCTGTGATTCTCCAGAACACACAGATGGCCAGTCCGCTCTTACCCTGTATTCCACCTGGTCGCCGCGGCGCAGACGGACCAGGTGGAATATAGGGTCTACCGCGTTTTGGAACCGTTAAGCAGAACCGAAAATGTGTATTTTGTACGGGTACCCGGTACCCGGCATTTTCTTATCGGTTCTCATCTGGAACCGAGTTTCGGTTCCCAACCCTGGTATTTTATCTCTATGTTCCAGCGCTCTGTTACCTGCAGCTCTTTGATGCTGATGCTGGTGTTGAGATACGTCTCCAGCTTCTTCACTTTAGTTTGGAGCTCCACCTCTTCCTGCTCCACGCTGGCCAGCCAGTCTTTAGTCATGTTGGTCTGAGCCTGTTGCTTGGCCATCTGGGCCTGTCAAAGCAGCATCTGCACATATTATCCTCGTCCCCAAACAACCATCCCAGTGCAGCTGGCAGCTCTCTAACGACACCCTCACTCTCTTATCTCAGATGAAAGAGCTTCATTGATCCATATACATCAGGGAAAAGGGTCTTACAAAAGGAAACGAGTCAGATGCCTACAGTAACTAAGAACAGCTGCATTAGCGTTTTTGTAGACATAGAATAGATCTGCTACTATGTCTATTTTCTTTCTCTGTAATCTGTCTGCGATTTTACATTCTCTACATATTGTGTCTATCCGCTCTGCTCCTGCACGTTAGATCTGCAGTTTGATAGTCAGCGATTATCTCTCCTGCAATAACACAAGCAGCACCCGAAGAATCTGTTGTTGACATATTTGGGTGTTTTCTTACCTGGAGCGACTCTATGGCTGCTTTTATCTGTCTCTCCACCTCCACAGCCTGCTCAGTCTGCCTCTTCAGCTTTTCTAGAGTCCCCTCATGGCTCCTCAAAGTCTGTCTGATTTTCACTATCTTCGCCTCGGTGGTTTCATGAACATAGTTGAGCGATTCGCTGAACTGTACGACGCCGAACAGGAGAATATTGACTTCTTCCTTCGGCGCAGCCTTGTCCTTCACCTCGCTGGTCCTCCTCCTGACCGGAGCTGCATGGACTGCTCTCAAACCCTCGGCCAAAAATAGCAGGCACAGAGCCCTGATCATCTTCATGACAGCAGTCACAAACTCACTGCGGTCTAATGTCTGTTTCACTGTTTCGGTTCAATGCGTACTTCTCTGTCGCAGCTGAGATGTTAGCATCATCCGGATCCCCAGTGGACGATGAGTTCGGAGGGTGGTCAGTGCGCCTTATATTGTATGTCTACATGCAATACCATAGTGAAACATTAGCTCAGCTGGGGTTTGATCCCAGGTCTTGTCTGTGGCCTTAGTCCCAGTGGCCCTGCCTGCTTTAACCCCTGAGAGACACATTTAGTCATTCAGGTCGTGAACACACGTGAAATACATTTATATAAATCTGGTTTTCTTGTGTTTGATACAGAACATGTATAATCATAATCTGTGCTGTACAGTACATTTATTTTTTTAAGTTATTTTAAAGTTATGTGATTTTTTTGGTGTGTCATTGCCTCTTGACAAGCGAATAAACACCGCTGTTTAAATAAAATATGACCAGATGTTACCTCTTTATGTTTGCCTTGGACAGTAGTTATGGTTACTTTCACTTAGCCAATACAGGGTCACACTTTCCCCTCGTGTGCACACATGGAAATCTTATCTTTTGATTTTCTAATAAATGCTTTTGTAGGTTTTGAGGGATTATTGAAACAGAATCAGACAAGATAATAAGATCCAGCTAGGCTGCCTACATCTTAGTATATTATGTTATTTTATGATTGTCATTTGATGTCATTAACCAAAAAGAAAATGTTCCTTTAACTCCTTCATGGATTTGCTGTCGTTTTATTCAATTCTGTCCTTGTCGTCTCATTTTCTGCCTTTTTATTATTTTGACTTTCAGGAATCTCCTCTATGTTTACCCACAAAGTCTGAACTTCAGCAGTCGCCAGGGGTCCGTGAGAAACATCGCTGTGAAGGTTCAGTTCATGGCCGCAGAGGACCCAAGTCAAGCTCTGCAGGTGAGTCACACTCAGCATAAAGAAGCTCCAGTCACAAAGGGCAGCTTGCGGCAGTGTAATAGTATACGAGGGTTTAGTGGAAGAGTGAGCTTCATCAAAGGGGCATTTATCCGAGCACAGAGGGAAGGAAAACTTAGTGATCTGTTTTGTGTATGAACTCTTTGTTTATTGAATATCAAATGGTTGATTCCCACTAAGCATTACTGGCTTAAAGTAACACTGTGTGTTTCTTGTAACCTGATTGGAGGTTTGACATTCACTATGCAGAATCATCTAAACGCAGTCTAAGACTAGAAGGCTTTCAGTTTTTGAGAAGAAACAATTTTTTTTTTTTTTTAAGAAATCACATTTGTGCCGTTAAACTGAACCATATGAGTATTAAAATGTAAGGTCTGAAGAGAAATAGCTTGAAGAATTAGTCGATAGCATGAAAAGTAATTGGCTATTTTGGTTATCGATTCATCAGTTTTATGAATCATTTCAGTCATTGTTCAGATTTTAATGTCTGATTCCAGCCTCATGAGAGGGTTTTCCTGGCTTTACATAATTCATCGTTCTGAGCTCAATATGTTCCGCTATTTGGTCTTTTGCTTTAACAAAGCAAATGTGTTTGAAGACGTCAAGTTTTGCTCTGTGAAATTGTAATGTCTATTTTTCAAAGCTTCACAGCCTAAATGGTTATCAGTTAATTACAAATATTTGTGGCAGTAGAGTCGATCTTGAAAATAATCCGTATTTGCAGCCCTAGGTTGCACACATCTCTAGAGGGAAACTTAAAAACAGTTTGTTTTTGTTGACAGTGTAAGTCTCATGTCAAAGGATATCCTCCTATTTGTCAAGGAGAAACTAAATGTACACTCTGCTGTTTGACCAGGTCATCTTTGGGAAGTCCAGTAGTTCTGAGTTCATGCAGGATGCGTACACTCCCATCATCTACCATAACAAGTAAGGCCCCGTCTCCTGCTGACCTTCACTGCTCTGGAGTCTGTCCAACTTGCCTTTAACATTGTGTTTAACTCTTGCCAACAGATCTCCTGAGTTCTATGAGGAGATAAAGATGAAGATTCCTGCAAATCTAACAGACAACCACCATCTCCTGTTCACCTTCTACCACATCAGCTGCCAAACCAAGCTGAACACCCCCCTGGAGACCCCTGTGGGCTACACTGTGAGTACACTCCTCACCCCCACACACTTGCTCGTTTGATCGCTCCTTCTTTTGTCTTGCCATCGGTGAGTGATCGCGTGTCTCTCTGTCTGCCTGCAGTGGATCCCTCTGATGCAGCATGGCCGACTGCGCACCGGCTCCTTCAGTCTGCCTGTGTCTGTGGAGAAGCCCCCGCCCAGCTACTCTGTGCTCACCCCTGACGTGAGTGTGTTGAAAGAGATGATCTGTATATCAGTCAGCCTGTCATTACCTTCTCCTGTTGTGATGGGACTGAGTGTTAACTGAGTTGGATGTCACTCTGCGGCAGGTCCAGCTCCCAGGCATGAAGTGGGTGGATAACCACAAAGGAGTGTTCAATGTGGAGGTGACGGCCGCCTCCTCGGTCCACACTCAGGTACACACGTGCTTTTTATGCTTACGTTTCTCTTTCACATGTATATAACAACAGAGTGGAAGAATGGTTCTTCTTCTTCTTCTTCTTCTTCTTCTTCTTCTTCTTCTTCTTCTTCTTCTTCTTCTTCTTCTTCTTCTTCTATCTTCTATCTTCTACTTGGTATTCTCCCACTTTTAAAAAGCCTTTTGTAAATAGGTAAGTGTCAGGGGACTTCTTGAAAATTATATTATAATTATTTATTATAGCCTCCCTAGTTTTCATTTATTGTTAATTAAATATGACACATTTTTATATAGAGCGATAAATAATACATCTTTATTGTGTATTAGTGTGTTACAAGTCTGAAGCCCTACATATGCATCCAGCAGTGTATCATTATAACAATAATTCAATAATTATTATTAATTAATTAATAATAAAGTTTGATTGTATCAGAATATATATAATAATTTAGATTTTATATAGCGCCTTTCAAGAAACCCAAGGACTTTTTACAATGGGAGATAGAATACATAAGTACCGTAATAATAATATCACAGACACACAAATATATATACATATTATAAAACGGACAAGTCAAATCAAGCAATCTGATTGGTTCTTAGCCATGATGTACTGAGCGTATCCCACGGGTACAATTGTAAGTTACTTTTCACAACAAGTCAGTATCCCTCCGCGCCTGAGAAACACAGTTGGGCTGAAACTGGAAAACAGCTAAGGGGCTTCGCGTCGGGCCGAACCACGCCCCTTAGCTGTGATATAATGAGCATATACCACGGCCTGTCGTGAGCTATTGCTTAAATATATGCTATATATATATATATATATATATATAGCACCTTGCATACAATAAATGCAGCTCTCAGTGCTTTAAAGAAGAAACAAATTAGGAAACACATTGAGAGATAATAAAGAATACATCTCAGTGTTGCAGAGGGAAAAAGCCATTTAAAAGATGAGCTAGTCAATGTTGCTTGAATAAGGTTTGGTTGAAGAGAAGTTTTTAAGTCTTGTGTAAACATTTCCAGAGCCATCTCTCTCATTTCTCTGGGTTTGCTCTTCCACAGTTTGGGAGCATAGCAGGAAAAAGCCATATCCCCAATTGTCTCTTTAGTGGGGTTTAGAGTGTCTAGAAAAACAGACTTGGAGGATCTAATGGCTCGTGAAGGAACATAAGACAACAGGGAGTCTGTGGTGTAGGCGATGCTCAGCTTTGTATTCAAGTTGAAGCACTTTCAAATCAATTCTAGAAGAAGCAGGGAGCCCATACTGCACGTATTACATCAGCGAGTTCAAGTGATACTTAATATTCATTCTGTTGTTAACTCTAGGACCCCCACCTGGATAAGTTCTTCACTCTAGTGTATGTTCTGGAGGAGTACTCGTTCCCCTTCCGCCTGAAGGACGTCATCATTACCGAGGCAAACATGGAGGGGGAGCTGAAGGCCAGCATGTCTGCCCTGAGAGGGGCTCTGCTGGATACCTGTGTCAGGTTCCTGCACCAGCTGCTCAACAAGCTCATTCAGCTCATCGTCTACCCACCGGTCATCGCGGGCCAAATCGGTGAGTGAGTTCTGAAGGACAGCCATTTAAGATCTGAAGTGCTCTTCCCAGAGCAACGCTGAAATGCTAATTTTGATCATTTGAGTGGATAATGTGATGACGATTAACCGCTACTTCCAAGGGACATAAGAGGACTGGAGCACACTGATTGATTTTCAACCTTTAATTGTGCAAACAGACTAAAGTTTCAACACTACTGTGCATCCTGTTTCCTATTATACATTTGACTGTTATTGAAGATAACAAGACTATGAATTGTGTATGTCTTTATTTATTAAATGCTCTGTTCTAACATCCACAGGCAATACAAATGGCTTTGAGGCAAAGGCCACAAAAACAAGATTTAAAAAAAACCAATAGAAATAGTCATTAAATAAAAAAGTAAGACGTAGGCCTACTTGTGCCTAAAAATATCGCCTTTCGGCCTTATTTTGATATATTTTGGTTCATAATCAATGTCTCTGCAAGATAAGAAAAAATATGTATTTTACTTATACTTATCCATCCTTAGCTTTCTTATTTTCAGCTACATAGAAACACTAAAAGACATGCTATATGCTCGGGCCAACATCAAATAGAGTAAAGTGTGGACAAGCATAAAGATGAATATTTCAAGCAGAAATGATGAAATTTTAAAATGACAGTCTAATATTATGCCCTGTTTAAAACCATAGTTTGGTTAATCAACACATGCTATACTCGCTTTAAATTCTCCGCAGTGAACCTTGGCCGAGCTTCCTTCGAAGCGATGTCTCTGTTGGTCAACCAGATCCACAAGAACCTGGAAGGGAACCAGGACCAGCACAGCCGCAACAACCTGCTGTCTTCCTACATCCACTACTGCTTCCGCCTGCCGACCGCCGAACCTCCAGTCCCCGCAACGGGTGAGTCCTCCATCTGAGCCGCACAGTCGCTATCTGAGGAGCAGAAAGAGCCTCTCGCTGCCCCACATGCACACTTTAGATCGGGCACATGGCAGTTGACTCGCTAATATTTCACCGTGTAACATTTCTATTCGTCCATCTCCATGAGTAGCTGGCAAGCAGTCCTACGACATACCGATGCAGTATGCCACCTTATCGAGAGTGACAGCCCGGCCGAGCAGCCTCCACCTGGCCCGTTCCAAGAGCATCAGCAACTCCAACCCCGACCTGGCCAGCACTCCGGTGTCTCCTGACGAGGAGGTGCAGAGGATCATCGGGAGCAAGGTGAGCTGCACCTTGCTATTCTCATAAGAGCTGTACAACTGCTGTGTGTTCTTATCTAATAAATACTTCACCCTCAAAACCAGATCAATTGTATAACTAAGTCACCCTGAATTATTCTTGAAAGCCTCCGAGGTGGACAAAGAGTCTCTTCACGCGACACGTGCCGTATAATCCAAGTCTTATTTATCCAGTGGTATACTCACTACTTCCCAAACACGTGCATTTTTGTTAAAATATTTAGCACAACAGGCACATTTCCATTTACTACAATTCCTGAAGAATTCTCTCCATTTTTCAGTCTTTGTTAATGTATGCAAGACAAATAATTCAAGGCAACACAGGGCGGGTAATTGTTACACAAATGGTCATTTTGGGGCAGTTAAATACTTCATTTACAGATTTAAAGTTTTACATTTCATGCATGTTTTGCTCTAAAAGTCTGTTATGTATTTGCTCTCTGCCTTGTGTTCTCATAGGGGTTTATTGTGCACATTACTTTCATTTGCTAAGTGTGTAATATATGTGGGGTTTTTCTTTTGTATTATGAATCTCCATCTTGTTCTATCCCTAGTACATTTAGAAAAGATACAACATCAACAAATGAAAGTGTGTGTTTTCATGGTTCCCAGGTGACATTCCCACACAGGGTTCATGTGTTTGCAATATCAGTCTGTCAATGTGTTTCTTAGTCAGTGTTTCACAGTCACTGCAGATTGAATACGCTTAGGTTGACTGATATCTCTGTGCCCACAGTTAATGATGCTGCTTATGTAATTATTCTTTGTGCCTCTGTTACATTCAGTACCTCCAGCCCTCCCTTTGATTCCACCCCCCCCCTTGCTTTCTTTGCTAATTCAAGCTTCCCTTCTCTACACCCCGTGACCCTTATTTGTCTCTTACCGTTATTGTTGTTATCCCTTAAGTAATCTTGTTTATAAATGACCTCCCTTTACTCACTGTGCCCTTGCCTCCTGCCGCACTCTGTGTGTGTGTGTTGTGTGTGTTCCTGGTGGCTTTCGGCAGGGCATTGACCGCTCCCACTCCTGGGTAAATTCTGCTTATGCCCCCGGGGGCTCCAGATCTGTGCTGCGCCGAAACCCCAACTCCAGCTGTGAGCTCAAGCAGGTGCCAAATCCCTCCTCTTCCTCCTCACCTTCACCTCCTACTCACCACCTCCATCCTGTTCCATCTCTGATCAACTCTCGCGGGTCGTTCCTTACCTCAGTGTTTCTGTCTGCCTCTCACTCTGCTAGCCTCCTGTCACACATGTTGCATCTCGTCTGTCTTTCCCAGTTCATCCTCTCACCGCCAACTAACAGACCATATCTGTTGGGTTTGAGAGACATAATCTCTGCCTGTGGCTCTTACCAGAGATTATAAAGAGTTCTCTGCCCACCCATCAATTTCCATTCATCCATTTTCACGTCACTTTGTCCTCATCTCCGTGGCTTCACCTCACCCACCACTCCATGTCAGGCAAGCGACCGCAGCTGCAATCGCATGTCTGCCTTTCTGGACAGCGTGGCCTTGTTTTCAGTTCCCCCCAGGCAGATTACCAAGAAGGTAAAGCTGACATCTACCATGACAAACTGTAAAAGTTACATTTTTCACATCAAACTAACCCATTTTGAAGTCCTTACTTTCATCAACTTTCCCTGTCATGAACATTCATCGTCATTCATGACATTTTAACAATTGTCTCTTTCTGTAAGTTGATGTGATTTATGTTTGTTGATACATTGAATATTTCATATGCTCAGTCTCTAGTAGATTTACTAATAAATTAGTTATTTTTACTACCACACATTTAACATTTTACCAACATTTTATACAAAACACTTATTGCTTTTAATTTGAAATATTATTTACCTGAATTATGGATTTTATTAACTATTAAGAAACACACACCACTATAATCGTAAAACTCATCTATTATATTAGAAAAATGTCATGTAAGCTAAACTGGTCTCCATGTTGGTCCATGGGCAGCTGCTCCATGAGGAGCTGTCTCTGCAGTGGGTGGTGAGCACCAGCACGGTGAGGGAGGCAGCGCTGCAGCAGGCCTGGTTCTTCTTCCAGCTTATGGTGAGTATGGTTTAGTAGAACTGTATTCATCTGACACCACTTTCTTAAGAGACAAAACTCAAAATGCTACCACACACCTTTACTACTTGAGGAACCATTGTAATAGCAGGATAGTTCATATTCTCATTAAGTGACTGTTTCCATATACTTCCTCTCTTTTAGACAAAGAGCATGTCCCACCACTTGTTCCTGACCTCGAAGTTGGACGTTGCCCGGCGTCAGCGTTTCCCTGACCGCTTTGTGGACGACGTCGCTGCCCTTGTGTGTGCCATCAGTGCAGACATCGCCAATAGATACCACAAGGTAACCCAAATCCCACAAGCCAAACCACAAGCAGTTCAAGAAATGAACTGATGAAAGTCCATTTGCTGTTAATGAACAAAATGTTGAATTATTAAAGATGGCCAGATGGTGTGTTAAAGTTCTTAACCAATAGAAAGTAGCCTTATCTCTTAAGCATGCTCAATCTTCATTGGCTTCAGTGATTTTAATAACCCAATCTTACAGAAAATGTCTGTTTTTCTTTTTTAATATATCATACAGTATCTTCCCTTTTTATTTAATCATATCTACTCTTGTCCACACTTGTCTCTCTCCCCCCTCCGTCTCCCTCTCTCTCTCAGGATGTGGAGCTTGTGGAGAGGTTGAATAGCAGTCTGGCTTTTTTCCTGAATGACCTGCTGTCTCTCATGGACCGGGGCTTTGTGTTCAACCTCATCCGCTCCTACTACAAACAGGTGCTCCTCTCCTTGTTTTCCTTTGATATCAAACACTTTAAATCCTAAAGCTCCCGGGCACATTTGATACTGTTTTAAACAAATTGGTGTGTTACACAGATTGCCAACAAGCTTCACACGGCGCAGAACCCCAGCTCTCTGATTGCCCTGAGGGTGGACTTCACTCGCATCGTGTGCAGCCACGAGCACTACGTCATCCTCAACCTGCCGTGCTCCACTCTCAGCCCCCCAGCCTCCCCCTCCCCCTCCACCTCCTCCACCACCTCACAGGTACTAAAGCGGGCGGGAAAACACAATATATCTGATTTAAATTGCTTTAATATACCTTTTTTTACATTGAAAGCTTCTATTGACCTTTTTCAAAAGAAGCTTTGTATGTCTGTCGTCATATTTTATGATGTCATCACCCCGAAAACACCTCAACAAAATCCTTATTTCTTTTGTTTTATAATCTGAATGTGAAAGTTATGAATGTTACTTTAAGCTATTTGATTAAGCACTATTATTTTGTATATACCGTAATTTTCGGACTATAAGGCGCACCTGAATATAAGCCGCAGCAGCTAAATTGAATGATGTGTACATATATAAGCCGCACTGGACTATAAGCCGCAGGTGTTTTAATGTTTAATTACCATATGTAAGGGTTCGTGCACAGAGGGGATTGTCGGGAAAGAGATGGCTGTTTGAGGAAGCTCCCATTTATTAACATTTCAACAAACAAATTGCATATTTGCATAACGTATTCAAGTGTTAGCATTTAGTGCAATAGCAGCTACAGAACATGTACTGTGCTGTGTAAACTGTACTGTATCACATAGCGTTTCAGACACACAAACTTTTCAACTTTCAAACTTAAACGGTGCGCTCCCAGCGCACGTACCGGCAGTGATCTACAGCAGTGGTTTTCAACCAGTGGTACGGGGACAAACTGTCTCGCTCTCGTAATGTCTGTCTGTCTGTGCTCTCGTTCTGTCTCTCGTACCACTCTCGATTCCACTTTTACTTTTGCGCGCTACCTGTCTCACTCTTTTCCGGCCTCCAGCTTTTCCTGCTGGAGCCCGCCGCTTAAAGGTGGGGGGGCGCGGACCGGCCATAGAGCCCATAGAGTTAAAGGTGGTGGACTGTAACCTGTAAAATCCATAGATTTAGGAGGTCCCCTAGTGGCCGTTAGCTGTAAAAATCCATAGATTAGCCGCACCGTTATATAAGCCGCAGCGTCGAAAAATGGGAAAAAAGGCGCGGCTTATAGTCCGAAAATTACGGTACTTCTTTCCTTCAATCTCATCTCACTCTGTATCCTCAGAGTTCAGCGTTTTCCAGTATGGTGCAGGACCAGGGTGTGGCCACCATGTTTGAGCTCTCCGTCCCTTTCCGCCAGCAGCACTTCCTGTCTGGCCTGATGCTTACTGAACTCTCCCTCATCCTTGATCCTGAAGGAGAAGGGTAGGTTCTTACTGGTTACACTATATAAGAACCAGGAGTTCCATTCAGTTCCCCTTTAGGGATCAACAAAGTGTGAACTTTAAAATGAAACACAGTACTGCTCACAGCGAAGAACCAAAAAATATGCTGATATTTTCTTTTTTTACCAACAGGGCATTTTTCCTTCATAAAAAGGCCATTAGTGCTGTTCACTCCCTGCTGTGCAGCCATGATGCAGACCCCCGTTACACCGACCCTCAGGTCAGAGCCCACATCGCGCAGCTCTACCTGCCACTCGTCCCCATCGTCATGGAGACGTTCCATCAGCTTCACGACTTCTCTGGTAAGCACAACATATATGCCACCCACCGATATTGTCGTTATGGCGATGCACCTCCTCCGCACATTCATTTCATTTGAAAAAAATGTTTCCAGTATTTATTGAGTGCTTTTCTCGTTTTCTTCCTAGACTCCTCGCCTGCTCGGGGGCGCCATAGCACAGCCCACGCCGACGATACTGACCCAGACAGCGGCAGCACTATCAGTCAGTCTGTTGCCATGGCGATTGCCGGCTCCCCTTTGCCGCATGTCAAAGCCAACCCGTTTGCGCTGCCCACAGCGGTGAGTGATAGCGGCGGGGGTCAGGCTGCCCCCCCGGCCCTACAGGCTGAACTCTGAGTGGGAGGCTGCTGCTCAGCAGACACCACTCTGGCCTTTCTGTAACTCCAAGCAGACATTCAGAGTTTGCATTATCTCATGTTGTTATTATTTTCTACAATGTTATTACAACTGCTCCTCTAAGCCTGTAGATGGCTCTCTGTTCCGTTCCTCACTGTAAACAGCCATTTTGTTCTTAGGCGGATTAAAAGACTGGCTCTGAGTTTGTGTATTTTTCTCCACCAGGCTGGGCGCCAATCCAGCTCTCTGTCTGCCGAGTGCAGCAGGACTCTGCTGGTGAGCTTCCTGTGGGTGCTGAAGAATGCAGATGCTGCTCTCCTGGAGCGCTGGGTGTCTGATCTGTCTGTGCTGCAAATCAACCGTCTGCTGGACTTGCTGCATCTCTGTGTCTCCTGCTTTGAATACAAGGTACAATAACCATGCTGTGTCACTACTATAGAGTCTTTATCATTTATACAATCAAAACAGGTTAAAACCAGGTGTTCAATTTGGACATACCAGAGCTGCTTCACATTATTACAATTACGTCAGTAGCATTTTAAAAAAAGTTGCTTATGTTGATTTATTACTAGTGCGGTGTACTCTGTTTTTTTTGTAATTTATAACTGTTCATGAATTGAGTCTTACTGAAGTCAATACAAATGTTGCCCCCTCTTATTTTTACTGGAGGTTTAGGTTTAATTGAAATATGTGTCCTGCTGTGCGGACTGAGGCTGAGAAAAGGAGTCTTTGTTATTATGGTCCTTGGTCTTGGAATGACCTTCAATCACGCCTCTAACTGACGCACTTGTCTCAATAGCATGTTTTAAATTGAAGTTGTCTGAAGTCCTTACCACCAGCTGCTCTCACAGTAATAAGTAGTGCACCTTTCTTACTGTCCTAATGTGCACAGTGTAGTGACTGCTTTTTCGTCTTTTGTTTTCTTAGTAATGTTCTCTGTATTTTATATGTTTGTGTTATGTGTAACATTGCTGCCTTCTTGGCCAGGTTAGCATTGCATATGAGATTCTATCTCAATGCTTTTATCTGGTTAAATAAAATAAAAATAAAATGTTTTTTTATATGTTCCCTGATTTGTTTTTGTGTGATTTTTGTAGGGGAAAAAGGCACTGGAGAGAATCAACAGCCTGACGTTTAAAAAGTCCCAGGACATGAAGGCCCGACTGGAGGAGGCCATTCTGGGCACCATCGGGGCTCGTCAGGAGATGGTCCGCCGCTGCAGAGGTCAGTAGCATGAGAGCGCGGTAATGTGTGACAGGGTGTAGCTTCTTGTTATTTATATATTTGTGTTAATCGATGTATATAATGTGTTTACTTTTCTAGAAAGGAGTCCCTACGGCAGTCAGGAGAACGTTCGCTGGCGGAAGAATGTCACGCACTGGAGACAAAATACAGACAGAGTCGATAAGTATGTTTACACTCATTTATTTAGTGATTACAATTTAAATCATAAACGTGGTATACCATGCTGTCTCTTCTTCTAAATAGTGTCTGAATGTTATACTGATGGTTGTGAAATAACACCTCTTGCAGGACTAAAGCTGAGATGGAGCAGGAGTCAGTGGTGGATGGAAACTTAGCAACAGAGGCCTCTCTGGTAGTACTGGACACTCTGGAGATTGTTGTCAAGGTAAACCAATCATCAACTCACGCCCACCCGTACAGTAATGTCCACTTTGTGTAGAAATGTCTTGCTGTAATTTGTGGTGTCTCTCTGTCAGACCGTGGTGGCCTCGGAGCTGAAGGAGAGTGTTCTGGGTGGAGTGCTGAGAGTGCTCCTCCACAGCATGGCAGGCAACCAGAGCGCCCTCTTCCTGCAGCACTGCTTCACTACACAGAGGGCTCTGGTCTTCAAGGTACATCATGCAAACATTTCTCTATTATATTTAGTTAGTTAGTGTTTAGCAATCTGATGTCAATGCAGCTTAAATATTGTCAAAAGTTACGCACTTTCACATTTTCCTTTTTACATTGTTCTCCTTCCTTGTTAAGAATCTAACACCGACTGACACATTTTAACACTATTTCAGGAAAACAACTAAATTATTTCAGGTGTATATTTTACTCTGCATATCTTTTATTTGATTGCATTCCAAAATAAATATTCCTTTTACGTTTTAAAGCTCTACCGTTCAAGCTTACAAACAACCTAATATTTTATTTTCTCGTTTAAATCTAATACAGTACAATATCCTTTATCTACTTAAACTTAGACATCCCTCATGCACGCACTGATTTTGGCAGGAAATGTTTCTATACACCTTTTTTAATGAAATGAGCCGCACATATCCCTAAAGCAACAATTCGACATACCTCTTAAAGATTTTAAAGATTTACCATCCTGTGTTTTTTTGTGACTGTTTTGTTTATTGTGTAGTTGTGAATGTTTCTTTTTCTGCTGTCACTCTTGGAAAAGAATGTCAATGAGACTGACTATAATACATGTAATAATACAGATTGTATTCAAGATGAAAGTGTGTTTGTGTGTGTAGTTCCCAGAGATGCTGTTTGAGGAGGACACGGAGCTCTGTGCCGACCTGTGCCTGCGTCTCCTCCGTCACTGCGGCAGCAGCGTCGGCTCGGTCCGAAGTCACGCCTCCGCCTCTCTGTACCTGCTCATGAGGCAGAACTTTGAGATTGGAAATGTAAGTCTGGACACTGTCTTTGCATCGTTGACCATCTTTCTTTAATATTCTTGTAATAATCGGGGACATGTCAGTAAAACAAAATGGATGTCATGGACTGTACTGGATGTTTGAGGAATAGATGCTTTATTGATACTGAGTCACACTCTTTCCTAACTTCACCCTTTTACCAGAACTTCGCTAGAGTGAAGATGCAAGTCACAATGTCGCTGTCGTCTCTGGTGGGAACGTCGCAAAACTTCAACGAGGATCATCTTCGTCATTCGCTCAAGACGATCCTGACGTATGCTGAGGAGGACCTGGAGCTGCGAGACACGCCTTTCCCAGAGCAGGCATGTAACGCTTCTGTAAAAAAGTGTAATCAGGAGCAGCAAAGATGGATAAGACTTGTATACTAATGTGCTGTGTTGCTCTTTGAAACTGCAGGTCCAGGATCTGGTGTTCAACCTGCACATGATTCTTACTGACACTGTAAAAATGAAAGAGCATCAGCAGGATCCAGAGATGCTCATTGATCTGATGTACAGGTACAGCAACGCACATCAGGGTTCTTAGTTCTCACGGTCATTAAAAACCTGGAAAAGTAATGGAAATTCAAAATGTTATGGAAAACAATGTTTTTCCCAAAGTTTTGGAAAAGTCATGGAAATGTAACTAAAGTTGCATCAAATATAATTTATATTTGATCTAATCGCTGAAATAGTAATACTATAATGATAATAAATACTGTATCGAGTAATGAAACGTAAAATGGCATTTAACTGTCGAGGTATTTTGCTGGTGAGACATTTTAGTTGCTTTAGCGTGTAGAAGCTAGTCAGCCTACTATTGGATTTTTTTTTGATAGGCACAACATGTTTCATATGCAGACCTTATTTTCTTGTTCCATGTTAAAATAAACCATTTCAGTGGTACCGCTGAGAAAAAGTAATTTTTTTGGTTATGGAAAATGAGGTAAAGGTCATGGAGAAGTCATTGGTGAAAAAGTGTATGAACCCTGGCACATGAATACGGCTTGCAAACAACAAGAAAGTGTCTCAAATAAAGACTCTGATATTTGACTGTTTTTCTTTTCCCAGGATCGCAAAGGGCTACCAGAACTCCCCTGACCTGCGCCTGACGTGGCTCCAGAACATGGCGGGGAAACACTCTGAGAGAGGGAACCACGCTGAGGCGGCCCACTGTCTGGTCCACAGTGCAGCGCTGGTGGCAGAATACCTCAACATGCTGGAGGACTGCCGCTACCTGCCCATCGGATGTGTCACCTTTCAGGTCAGTGCACGCTGTTGGAGGCTCACTCTCCTTACAGCAGTACGGCAGAATGAGATAGAAAGTGGAACCAAGACTCAAGCCTGCAATTGTTTAAAAGTGCAAATATGATATTTTACATAAAACAAAAAGATTCAGGATTGTAAAATAGACATAATTGTACTAACAAATTTTGTGTGTAAAAAAAGTCAGTCTTGTATATCATGATGAAAATGAAATCAAATAGCACTCATTTATTATCGCCCAAAATCACAAGAAATGCCTCAAAGCAAGAAAAGACAAACACAAAACACAAACGTCATAGCATTAAAATGATAAAAACATTATACATCAACATAAATATTGCCATGTGATAAAAGCATGTGACCGAAGTGATGGTAATGTAGATGGAAACTAGGTGATGGAAATGAGTTTACAAGGAAGACAGATGCGAAGAGATTTTGAGTTTCCTGTTAAAGGAGTCCACGGAAAAAGCTTTGCGGATCTGAAATGGAAGACGATGTATTTCTAACATTATTGTTCATGACAGGATGGATGGATTTTATAACAGAATGGGAACTTGTTGGATTTTCCCCTTAAGCAGCAGCTGATGATTTAATGGCCCACCTGTTAGCAATCAAGCAGAAAGGGAATCTGATAAAGCAACATGCAAAATGCGTGCTTGCTCCCTTATTGATTTTAAATGTAAAAGGTTATTCAAATATTATCTATCTTAGTATCCTGGGCTTTGATTTATTTTGTGTAACCTGCTGCCACCCGGGAAAGAGGCACTGCTGTGAATGGGTAACTTCCGTTCTCTGCATGTATAAGACTGTATTTTTTTTCTTCTGACTTTTTTCCCCTCAGAATATTTCCTCGAACGTATTGGAAGAATCAGCTGTGTCCGATGACGTCCTGTCTCCAGAGGAGGAGGGGATTTGTGCTGGGAAGTACTTCAGTGAGTCCGGCCTGGTGGGCCTCCTGGAGCAAGCAGCTGCCTCTTTCAACATGGTACGACTCGTATTCTCCGACCACATGGGGACAGACTGTTGCAGCATCAACATGGCTGAAGGAGTTGTTGGGCGCAATGTTTGAAACTGGCTTTCTGTTGTGCTGTAACCCCAGGCCGCCATGTACGAGGCCATAAATGAAGTATACAAGATTCTGCTGCCCATCCATGAAGCCAACAGGGACTTCAAAAAGCTGGCGACTGTCCACGGGAAGCTGCAGGATGCCTTCAACAAAGTCTACAACCAAGTGAGTTGACCTGAAATCACCAGCAAAAACTGCCCTCTGAGTGTTTATGAGAAAATGTACTTCATTCTGGATTCCAACTTATGTATCTTTTCTTTTTTTCACTTTTTCAGAGTTCGGGATGGGAGGTAACATGTTCATTTGTTATTAAGAATAATACATGTGAGGTCAAATTGTTTCAGAAATTCATTTTTTTCTGTTCTGACAATGTTTTCTTTCTTTCTTATTGCTGGTCCTCTTCTCTCCGGTGACATGTTGCTGGTGAGTGGTTTCCACTTTGACATTTCTCAAGCCCCTCTCACACAGTTTCCACCTCTTTCCCCCCCCCCCGCCTTACGGTTGTGAAATAATTCTTAGTCTAGATATATATTTTCTCTTTGTCTTACTAAAGTAGTTTTTTTTCGTTCAGTTTACATATTTCAAATTTAAAATAATCTTCTCTCGTATCCTGTCTTCAGTGTTTAGAGAATGTTTGGGACCTACTTCCGGGTGGGTTTCTATGGCTGCCGGTTTGGAGACCTGGATGAACAGGAGTTTGTCTACAAGGAGCCATCCATCACCAAATTAGCCGAGATCTCCCACAGACTCGAGGCATGTAAACTACTCGAACAAAGGTGTCAATAATGATTTATGAGAATCATATCTCTAAAGGTGAATCCTTTTAATACACAGGAGTTCTACGCAGAGAGGTACGGGGATGACGTAGTTGAAATTATCAAGGACTCCAACCCAGTGGACAAAAACAAACTGGATCCCAACAAGGTAGGATTACACGTACATTAAGTGTAAATCAATACAGAATTAGCAAAAGTTGTAATTGTGTTGTTGGTTGTTGTTTCAGGCCTACCTCCAGATCACCTACGTCGAGCCCTTCTTCGACACATACGAGCTAAAGGAAAGAATCACGTACTTTGACAAGAACTACAACCTGCGTACTTTCATGTACTGTACTCCCTTCACTCTGGACGGCCGGGCCCACGGCGACCTGAACGAGCAGTACAAACGCAAAAGCATCCTCACAACGTCTCACGCGTTCCCTTACATCAAGACACGCATCAACGTTATCCACAAGGAGGAGGTGTGTGTCTCGGCTCGTTGTGTCATGTTTCCATAAAACTAAGCTGCAAAGATCATCACCTATTTTGTCCTTGATTACAACGTAGTTTTAAACTTGCGGTAAATGTTGTTGAAATTGAAAGATAAAATGCAAAAAAAAAATCCCTGATTAGGTATTGAGAACATATTATGTTTTGCCTTTAAATTAACACATTTCTTTTTGAAGTTACAGACAAGTAAATAAAATAAAATAGTTGTATGGGAACTCACATTTTTAGCAAACAAAGCTGCTGTTTTAGGAAAATATTTGCTATTAATATGGATGTAGTGCATGGGGGAAAAGAAGTCAACTATTTCTGTCTCTTTGTTTTCCAGATCATTCTTGTCCCCATGGAGGTGGCCATTGAGGACATGCAGAAGAAGACTCAGGAGCTCGCCTTCGCTACAAACCAGGACCCTGCAGACGCCAAGATGCTGCAGATGGTGCTGCAGGGCTCTGTGGGCACCACCGTCAACCAGGTGCCTGCTTAAGTGCTTTACTCATGACGTATAACTGTAATGCATTTCAAATGTCAAAATCCCACATCCTCCTGAAATATTAATCCCATCCAAAACTGTGTTGAGAGTCTGGGACATTCCTGAGCAGAGATGTAACCGTCTCTCCTTCACAGGGCCCCCTGGAGGTGGCGCAGGTCTTTCTCTCCGACATCCCTGATGACCCAAAGCTGTTCCGTCATCACAACAAGCTGCGCCTCTGCTTTAAAGACTTCACAAAGAGGTGATGACACACTCCACGTCCCAGACGCAGACTGCTGTGTACCTAATAAAAACAAACCCCAACACCTCATGTGTCCTCTGCTCTTTCTCGTGCAGGTGTGAGGATGCCCTGAGGAAGAATAAATCGCTGATTGGGTCGGATCAGAAGGAGTACCACAGAGAGATGGAGAGGAATTACAATAAACTGAAAGAAGCTCTGGGTCCTCTCATCAACCGCAAGATCCCCCAGCTATACAGGAGCCTGCCAGCTCAGACTACGCAAGCACAACGGTAACTTGAGACACACACACACACACACACACACACACACACACACACACACACACACACACACACACACACACACCCACGCACAGAAAGACACAATATGAGCTCATGCTGCTCTTAGAATCCATCTGACCAACACAAGAGTAACTTAAAGCCAAAATGCATCATACCCCAGGTCATAGGCTGATAGAATCTGTGTTTTTGCACACACAATGCAGGGACTGAAAACTGTCACATTTCTCCAAGAATGTGCAATCCCTTTTATAAGAAAGTTTGCAAAGTATTGCAGCCTGTTTGACTATGGAAACTATCACCATATGTTTTCATCTGCTTTTGGCACCAGCTCTGTGTTAGCATGTGAGGGCCTGAGGACTGCTGCTTCATAATCAAAAACAGAGCTACAGCCAACAGCACCTGCCAGAGAGATGCTTTCAAACTGAGGACAATTGAGTATCTGACAATCAGTTTCTCAATGTTAGATTGTATGTTACACATTATAATGTGTATAACAGAAAGATACTTTTCACAACTATCTCTCCCTGGATTAGATTTTGTCTCTCAAATGAACTAATCATAAATAATTCAAGAATCACACAAATTAATATCTTTGGATTTAGTAGATTTTCCGATGCACTTTTTATCAAAATGAACCATAACACTTGAAGTAATCATGTTTGTTCTTGCTTTTCTCTCGCAGGAACTCCTACAGTAGGTCCAGTCTCCGCAGAGTGGACTGTTGAGGCCCGCCAACTGGACAACAGCAGAAGAGAAAAAAAAGATTTATAAATTAGCCTCCTCTCGTCCCGTCTGTTCCCCCTCCCCCCACTGTATGGCTCACCAACTGTCACAAGCACACGCGCCGTCCTCCCCCTCGTCCAGCTCGTTGTTTTAAGGCCCACCCAGACACGCCATAACCCCCCCCCCCCATCCTCCCCAGCACTGCCACCACACACACACTTGTCACCTCTCTCCCTGCTAAGCCATCTCTCCCGTCACCGGCACTCTCACACCTCTGTAGGAGAAAAACCTCGGATGTTTATTCTGGAAGGGTATCTGCACTGTAAACATCGACATGTGGAGCGAGGCTCCGACATGTCAGTGTTTTTAAACCAAGCTTTCAGAAGAAGTCTCCTTACAGTAATCTCTCTGAGCTTGATCTGCTTTTAACTTAAGTTTTTACAGGACATGAGCTGCCAAACACATTTTGCATCCAAATCGTTTGGGGGTTTGTGCATGTTTTCCTTTTGCTTCTTGTGTTTGCTTTCGAAGACGCTGTGCTTCGTCTGTCTTGGCCTTATTTCATTAAGAAGAGATTTTTTCTAAACTATGCCTGGTTGAAGTCACTGCCAGACTTTGGTTATTAAATAGTCCCAGGGAGTTTTCTTTTGTTATCAACAGACCAAATAACTGACATTCCTCATTCCTCAAGATGTCACATTTATCTGCCTATCGCTCGTTATAAGAAATTCATTAAAGAGCAGAGCCGGGCTCCTTCGCTGCCAGCTCAGGTCTCAATTTTAGGAGGGAAGGGATATTTAAATGTTTTTAAAACTGTGAAATTCTCTTGTAATGCACTGCAGTCACATCAGATATTTATCACAGAAGCAGGCCATCTCCTTCGCCCACACATATGTCTAAACTGTGACATGTTATTATCACACTACAGTACAGACTTATAACTGAATACATTTTGTATTTAATGCTGTCCAAAGGAACTTCAAATGTCATGTATGTGTCCAACACCCCGGTTGTGGCACATTTATATTCATTGTGGCTATTTCCAACTACTGTATCTATTATATTGCACTATTGTAAACAAACTGCAGCACATTAACACTGTAACTACTAAAATGTCCGTGCTTTTGTTATTTTTTCAAGGCTGGAAACTGTTTTTTTACCAATTAGATCAACTTTTTTTATTTATTTACAATGTCTTTTTTCTACTGCTTTCTATTAAATGTCTCTTCCAATGCCTCAGGTCTTTTATTTGTGTGGGCTACAGAGCTGAAGAATAGACAGTGAAAAATATGTAATAATACCTTTAACAGCCAAAAGAGACTCAATACTATTAGTAAGTATTTTTTATTTTGTCTGTCAAAATTAGTTTTTTTGTGAAATTATTTTTTATGATATGTTTTTATTTTATATTCTGGCGTATACAGTATTTCAGTGGTTAGGATATTGTATATTTAAACACAAAACAAAGCAAAACAAAAAGGATATGACAGACTCAGACTAACAATAGCATCACCCAAAAATACAAAGTACTATATAAACACAGAGGTTAATAAAACAAACACTTTCCCGTTCCTGTATCTTACTCAATCTTAAACACTTTTAAACACTCCTATCTTCATGTAACTCTTTTAGTGAAGGTAGTTAAATGTAGTTCTTGCTACCCCTCTTGACTCTTATTTGTAGGTTAAAGATATTGTTGGAGTCAAAAACTGGCATTTTCCATTTCTATTCCTAGTACAGGACTGCTTCTGCGTTTGCGTTTATGCTTTGTTATCAGGAACTCTAACCAGGAACACCTGCTGTAACTCAGTGGTGAATGACCTGCAGTTAACTCTCTGATAGAACAGCTGTACGTGGTTTGTGATTGACCGATTGGTTATTTTACTGTAGTTCTTGGTAGACTTTAAAACATGCAACCTGAAAACCTCAGCACTCGGAGCCCTCTGCTGAATCCCAGTGCTTTACATTCACACAGTCCTGCACTATTTGTGTTACACGGTTGGAAAAAATGCGGCCAAGATGTATGATCCAGATGTCCTCCTGGCTCTCCTTTTCCATAGCATTAGTCTTAATTTCCTGTGGCGGTAGGATGATCCACATTATAGCCTGCAATGTTTGTGTAATTTACCAGAATAAAGGGCAGCGCATTAATAATCGGGTACTTTACATAGACTTGCGATGGCTCAGTCAGTCAGACCTGAGGACCGAAAGCTTTACACATTAGAAAGTCACTCGATACTCAGCACTGTGGTTGTTGTGGGAAAGTTTATAAAAATCATACTGTGCATATTGACTTTTAAACTGGATCCATAAAGCTTTGTTACCGTCTAAATGGATAGGAAAATATTCTGGAGGTGTTGCTCCTTGACATCGTATTTCCTGCAACTATGAAAAACATTCATGTTTTGAATTTTTGTTCTGTGTATATGTCTGTTTTTGTTTTATTAATTTGCTTTAGGTACTCGTACTTGCTTAAAGGTGTTGTACTTGATGTTTCCCTGCTGGCCTCTTCAGACATCCTAAGTGTCTGGCAGGTCCCTCCACTGATGTCGACAGAGGCCCTTTGACTTCCCCTGGTTAGTCAGGAAGGTCGTTGATATACAAAGAACTTGAAGGGTCAGGAGATCAAGTACTGTGTTTAACTTTTAGGTAGTTACATCATTAAACATGTATTTGTCAGCTTTAGTTACTTTACAAACAACAGTTTAGACAATCTATAGCCTACTCTGTTAGAAAGGTGGTCTCCAACAATGTGGGAATGTTATTGACCCTTTATTTTTTGCAAGTGTACGAAGAAGCATGGGCCCTTGGAGGCAAATGAGGGATTCCAGTTGACCCCTGTGAGAGGATAGAGCTACAGTGTGAGGAGAAGGATGATGGAGGTACAATCTGATGACGGAGCTGAGATGATGGAGCTACAGTGAGAGGATGGAGCTACAGTGTGAGGAGAAAGATGATGTAGCTACAGTGTGATGGCGGTACAGTGTGATGAGAAGGGTGATGGCGGTACAGTGAGATGAGAGTTAACGGAGCTACAATGCGAGATGATGGAGCTATGAGATGATGGAGGTACAGTGAGAGTCCATCAGCCTCCAGTGTGAGCTCCCTGCTCGGCCTCGTGGTCGCTGGCCCTTTAAGAGCAGCGGGAGGGGGGGGTTGGGGGCGCGGAGCATCTTGGCTGCGCTGTTTTTGTCTCTGTCAGTGAGCGCTCCTGGGCCGAGGTGGCTGAAAGGGTTTCCAGAGGACAGGTAAGAACAGCTCATACGTTACACTTCCTCTGTTTGAAACGTGCTTTGCCCTCTCTCTGACGGACTGTTATTTTAAAGCGTTCCGGAGGGGCGCCTTGTTGTGAGAGCGACTTCTTTGTAAAGCGTCGGTCCTGCCCAATCCCCCGGTACACTCTCTGCGAAGTAACGGCTCCTTTATCCTCTAAACCAGTCATTACATTGATTTTACTTTATGCAGTCCGGATTAATTAGCTTCCATGATGTCACATGAGTGTTTCTCCGCCTTTTGATGAATGTTAAACTGAGTCTTGGTTTCGCTCCTGCTCCGGTGCGTGCCTTTTTGTTCAGAGCATCACCGGAGGCTCTGCACGGCGGCGAGGAGCGCTGTTAACGCGAAATACCCTGGTTCTAAAATAAAAAATATTATTATTATATCGTAGAAGTGAATATTAAAACCGTTAAAATGTAATGAGAGTTAGCAGTGGTCCTAATGAAATGGGTTTTATTATTATTATTGTATAGGATAATGTCTACAAAATCTGTGCATTTTAGTCTTGTTACATTTGCCATTTATAGTCTGCATTGTAAAGTCAAATTGAGGGGATCACAACTTTGGTCCAAATTGCTTAGCAGGAGTTTCAGAGAGCTTACAGTTTGCAAAATCTTTCCATACAGTCTCTCCATTTCTGAGCGAGCAACACATTTGGGTGTTTGTGTCAGTCTGTCTGTCCTTCATTACGAGACTTTCCCAATTCCTCACACATGATCTGTTGCAGAAATCTAACCATTTTCTAATTTCGTTAAACCTAAAAAGAAAAGCTCAATGAAGACTTAAGACTCAGGGGAGAGGGTGGGTCCGTGCTTTCTGCAAGTTTTCATTACTTCCAGATGTTCGTCAGCTTTTCGTTGCCGCTTCTTGCCCTCAAAGTTGCTCCTCTCGCCTCATGGAGTCAGCCAGTTGTCACTGAGGGAAATGTGTATCCTCAGAAGTTGATGAGAGTTAATGAAATGTAATCTCAGCTGAGCATGAGGAGAGTAAACACACCTCAAAGTCTCTTTTAACTGCTTTTGTGGTTTTCAGATAATGCCAAAGCTACTAGAGGCACTCTCCCGATGATGGCCCTCATTGAATCCTCTTAATACACTCATAATGCTATGCAATCTGAATATTATATTGTCTGAAGTAAATAGGCAGGATTGTTTGTCTTATAATGACTCATACACTATGTGATGGGATGTCTCTTGGTATTTGTGGTACACTTCTCTGGTTCATCAGTAAACACATCAGATGTTGTTGTGATGATGAAGAAGGACACAGAAGTTGGCAGGATGTGGGGGTGCAGTCATCAGCCTGTTACTCTGCATCATACACACAATACACCACTGTCCCGCTGCTGTTGTGTAATGGGCTGCTGGCCGTATTAAATCACCTACCAGCGAATAGAGAAAGATTGTAGCAGCTGCATGGCACTCAGACAGCTCTGAGCTGTCATGCATGCCATTAAACCAGCTTTGTCTGTCTCCAATATTGAGTCCAATATGTTGTTAACTGCGCGGATTAGTTTTAACCAGGTGCACTTAATAAACAGGCAAGTGAATATCTCCCTATTGTTTTGAGATCTTGCGTTTGTTGTACAATAACAGTGAAAACTGACTCTTCCTCGTGTCTGGGGACCCCCATGAATGCCATCAAAGACCCCTGGGAGCACCCATAATGCAGTCAGTGAATCTCTGGTCAGGTTTTTGGGCAGCTGGAGTTTCCTTCAGGATTCTTTTTTTTTTACCAAGATGGAATGTGATTGTCTCATTACAGCTTCTAGACCCAGGGGTGCTGTTGAGGAATGCAGAGTTATAAACCCCATTTGCACACTGGGCCACACGCCGGGCATTTAAAATGGTTTAGTGAGTCTAATGAAATTACACTCTCAACCTGCATGACAGTGCCTGTCACTGTGATCTTCCACTGATAGGCATCCCAGACGGGTTTACTGCTTGATGAATGAACTCTTCTGTTAAAACACTGCACACTATTAGTGATCATTTACTTCACTGGAAAAGTGAAAGTTAGCCATTTTAAATATCTCCGCCTTTGATAACAGGCCTTTTCAGTGAATACATATGCAGTATGTGCATGCAAGTCCTGTCTTTAATTTAATTTTAATTTTTCTTTAAATTTGTATTGAACATGCTCAAAAGGATTCTCTATTGTTAACAGAGTACGACAATAGAGAATAGTTTGGTCTATAAAATGTCAGAAATTAGTCAAAAATCCCATCCCAGTTTCTCAAAGTCCAAGTGATGTCTTATTTTCTCAGTCCAAAACTTAACCTAAGATATTCAGTTCAATATGATTTATAACAGAAAAAAACAGGAATATTACAGAATATTCTATATTTTACATTTCTTCAATGAAAAATGTGTTGGTGATGATTCTCCTTCTTTAAAACAACACATTTTACGATGATTAAACCCAATGTTCTTAGTTGTATTAGAGTTGAATTAGACTAAAGTAGGGATAAACATTATTTTGCAAAAGTACCATCAGTCTGATTTGATCAATAAAGAGGGTTAATACGCCTACTTAACTTTATTACTTGGGGCATTACTGAACATAAGGTCTAGAGTTGCTTTTGAGGTACTTTACAAGGGACTGTAATTATCTTCCCAAATAATCTCCCATGATCTCCTCGAATACATTAAACGCTCAGAAAACAAGATGGTAATTTCTGTCCACTAAAACATACAAACGTGTTGGAAAAGTCAGTGTTATGGATGTTTTTTCTGGCCTCTTTTATTATCTTTATGTCTGCAGTGTTTTAATCAACAACTCTCATTGAACCAGGAAGTAATTGATGAATACCCTGAGAGGGAAACACTTATCAATGTCACCGCTGCAGTAAGGTTACTTCCTGTGCTCAGTACCACAACAAACGCTGACCTGAGCTTTCACCCCAGCACTGCTCCGACCGGCTCCCCACCACCCGTCTCACTGCCATCTGGACTTCGTCTCCCCCCCTCCAGACCCCACAGTTCCCTCAGAACAGTGCAGCGCTCAGGCCTCTCTGCTCGGCATCATTTTTAATCCCCACCTCCGCAACGGCCCAGGAATTTTCTCCCAAATGCCCTTTTTTTCTAGTGTCTTTTTTTCCGGAGCCGCTCCTTGCCGTTCAGCCCCACCCATGCTCAGTTTCCTGTTGGAGGTCAGCACAATGACCAATAGCAGACTGGCGGGTGTTTACTCTGCTCCTGTTCCAGGAGTAATGGGAGCCAGCCGGCCCCTCCTCTTGGCCGTACACGAGCCAGACTGCTGGGTCTGTGGCGTCTGCTCCTCCATACCACCAGTCTTAATGTAAAAAACAGGGCTTTTTGCTAAAGGGGCAGAGAATCCTGCAGGGGACGTCCCACTGGGCAACGATTTCACCGTCCTGGGTTTAAAGCCTATATTAGTCAAAAACCACATGTCCTGCAGCAGCACTGGAACACTGTGTATTGCCATGTTGATATGAGATCATCTGGCCTCGGTACGCATGCTGAAGGCTCCGTCTGTCTGTCTATCAAGCGATGACGTACACCGTTCAGCCGCATTATGCCTGGTGACAAATGGCTGTTGTTGCTTCTACATTTATCATTCTTTAACAGTACAGGGGAGTGATTTGTTGTACATTTTGCCGATTTATTATTCATGCTGGACCATTTGGCTGAATGAAGCCATCTGTGCTGCAGAGTGAGGAGAAGGACAAAGAAGTCTTGGTAGATAGATCAGCAACCGTGTCTCCTGTTGTGATCTTTATGAAACATTTGAAACTCGTCTCCAAGTCTATATTAAGTTCTTTGCGGCCTGTTACTCCGTGGAGAAAACCTCAGAACAACAATGCGCTTTATTTAAGTGTAGCTTCTCTTATATTCTCTATTGTCGGCCTATTTTTAAGGGAGGAATGCACAAATGATGGTAATCTTCTAGGCGGAGCCATGTTAGATTATGAGGGAAGGTCCTTTGAAACTGTATATACTCTTGGTGAGGAGTTCTTGCAGCCTCTGTGATCTTTCTGATCTTGTTCCCACGTTTACAGCAGCAACTACATTCTGGTGTCAGCAGCAGTGATTCATACTGGTGGAGTCCAAATGAGAGCAGTCATGGTCTCCTCATTCGAGAACTTTCCATCTAAAACTTTCAGCAGCGGCTCTTTTTTTCTCTTCCCCCCTCCTCGTGCAGTATTGCCTTTCTTTCCTCACATTCCCACTCGTTCTCTCCCAGCCTCACACACATACTGTACTGCTCTCTCTCTCTCTTACCCCTTCTCCTTTTTCCTTTTCCCGCTTACGCTCTCCCCTTGTTACTCTTTCTCCTGCACTGGGAGGAAGTGACTAGGTTGTTTCTGGATCCTCTGGGAATAGAAAGATGGAGCTCCCTTTTCCTGTAACCCTTCCTTCATCAGATTTCAGCCTATTGCTCCATATCGTCTCTGTTTAGCCACATCAATTAGCTTGGTATGACAAGAGTGCATAATGACAAAGCAGTGATCATCCGAGAGCCTTTCCAGATCAACTGACATTGGGATAAAAACTTCAGATTCATCATCAAGGACACGGACATAGTAAAGCATCTTTGCTCTCATATAATCGGTGCCCTTACCTGAATAAATCAACTGAAAAGCTACAGCTGTGTTTGTTGATCCGTGGGAGTCTTGGGCCTCGGACAGTGTTTGGAGGTCTGTGTGTTTTCATCTGTGCTGTGTGGGAGTCCACGGGAGTTCAAGTTGTCTGCTGTAACGTTTGGTATTTGTCAAGCACATAGTTCACTGTCTTTAATCCTATCCTTTGGTAGATGCTTTTGGTATAAGTGCCTTTATGTAGGGACACACATCTGGCAGCACAGATAGCCGATCACCGATCTTCTTCTAGATCTAGATATCAATCGTCAGAGTATTTCCGGCTTCTGTCAGTGTGTGGGTCTATAACAGCACTTCATCAACTGTTTGTTTGTTTTGAGGCAAATTTACTCACCACACTCATACACACACCCTTTCTCTCTGACTCTCTCTCTCTCTCTCTCTCTCTGAGATGCCCCTCCTTGCTTTCTATTAGAACCAGCTGTGGGACTAGAGGCTGGATGAATGGCTCTTTGTGATTTGGCTGTCGCTCCAGTCTAAAAGGTCTATTGCTCCCCCTACTCCTCCACCTTCTGTGGTATTGGCATGACAACAATATAAAACAATGGACTGAACAACAGCAAGTCTTGTTATGATTTTATGCAAAGGTCATCCATCTAGGCTGCAGGACCCCCCGACAAAATGTCGACCACACTTGCTCAGAAGGCTCTGAGCAGCCGGAGCAGAATGTATGAGAATCAGCAGACAGTCACGCAGCCTATCTGGTGGACACGTGCACAGAAGTTAAAGAGCACGCTTCAAGTCTGTTTTGTCCACGAAGGAACACATTATAAGGCCCATGAAGTCATTCTGGCTTTAAGGTGTGCAGATTACAAATATTCCCACATAAACTGGAGGGCGTGTGTGCCCTGGATCACAGGGTGTGAGTCAAAGAGGCAGCAAAACAGAAAACATTGCCCAATCACATGGCAGGGACGCTCCCAGTCTTGGATTGATTAGAGAGCCCCGAATTGGAGAGAGGAATGGGGTTGGGGAGAGTGTTTCTGGAGAGCTGGGAGAGGAGGAGAGCAGCCATGCAAGGATCCGGCTTCATCCTGGCTACACGACAAGGAGGTCAGAGAGTGATTGGCATTTGACGGGGCTGTATTGGTCACATCCGGCGAGTCACTCAAAACCACTGGAATGTTTTTGGAGTGTTTTTCTGGCTACGCAACCTGTGTTTAACGCCTTTCGGAGCCCACTCTTTTGTAACCTGTGTGGTTTTATTTATGTGTCAACAGAGCTACAGACATGTAATGGGATGTTACCCTCCTCTGATGACTTCTTGTCTAGATATGTCCTTTTATTTTCATTTGACCTGGGATATAGACGGCTACAATCAAAATCCAGGAATTCCAAAGCTCAAGTTTCCTTTTATTCTTTTTCCCTACAGGTGCTGACTGTAAGAGTGCAAGAAAAGGAAGGGAGAGCAAGGATCCTGGGGAGGAGAGATCCCGTCCTTGCAGCGCACGCAGCTGGTATGAAGCGGAAAATAAATCCCTCTTTTCCTAATTCACAAACCATTCCCAAGCTTGAGCAGAATAATAATCACTGAAGGCTGATGAGAGTCACTAAAGCAGTGGAAAAATCCATAAAGATCTCTGGGTAGTGGGAAGAGTGGTATTTCTGACATAGCAAAACTGGGGTGTAATCCGTTGTAATGGCAATAATGATAAGGTGACTCATTGAATGGAAGCAATGAGTTTTGAAAAAGCTGACCTCGAAATGATGCCTGGCATCTTAGATTACTTTTCAGGGTGGTCTCAATCCTCTGATACACAAAAGGCACAAGCATCTATATACACGCTGTAAATCAAATCCAGTTTTAATCCCCCAGTTATGAAGTGCATGCAGAGTGTGGTTGTAAAGTTAAAAACCTGAAGCTACATTCTACAAAAACAAACATTTTGAGATTGTTGCTGTGAGATGTTATACGCGTGACAGTATAATGCAGAGACAGAGCATACCACAGATGTGTAATTTGTGATGGGTGACCTGCATCCTACCCCCGGAGGGTCTTCCTAATCTTAATAGCAGGGAACGGAGGGAGTAGAGCAGGCGATGCTAACTTCCGTTAGTATGGTATGCAGCTGTATGGGGAGGTGGGGGGTGGTGTAATGGGGGCAAGGCATTTGTCCTGGATGAAGCTGGTCAGGGAGAGTTGTCTGAAGAATGGTAGTGTGGCGCTGCTTTCTGCTCAGATGTCATCTCAAAGGAACTCTGTTTGAGAGGGAGAGAGAGGGAGGAAGGTCAACCGCTCCTCCCCACCCACGTTAAGGCTGCTCAATTAATCGTATTTTAATCACAATTACGATTATGGCTTGCAACGATTACGAAAACAACGTAATCGAAATAAAACGATTATTTTTTTATTATTATTATTACTTTTTTTTTTATTGGTTTTTCAGTTGAATTATACTTAAAGTTCAGAGTAATAAACCGTTAAAAACATACTGTTCAAAAATAAATTGATGTTTTCAAAGTAAATGGACAATCGTTTTTAATAATCGTGAAATCAATTATTGACCCAAATAAACGAGATTATGATTTTTGCCTTAATCGAGCAGCCCTAACACACAAACATACACACATAGTAACACATCTGAAACACCCAATGAGCCGCTGTTGGAGAAGCAGATGTGGGCGACTTGAGTGGGTGATGTGGGATGAATGAGTCCCGGAGAAGTAAAGTAAAGAGAGATTTTGAAGCAGAGAAGAATGTGAGTTCCCTTTGACGTAGATGTGATTTGAAACAGCAGAGAACTAAGTTCAAAGGGGGATGCAGTGGACAGTGTCAGCCGTCTCGCCCGCAGGGCTTGGATGTTTGGTTGCTAAACTGCAGATTCTAATTATATCTCATCAACTGTCCTCTGTCAGCGCCGTCCTCCACCCTCCTGTACACTCTCAGTTTCTCACACACACACACACATCGACAGGCCCGCTGACTCCCAACCACTCCCCAATCTCTCAGTCCTGTTTTCACTTTCTCACACACGTAGGCATACCCAGACCGCCCTGTACACCACGCAGTACATAATCATTCTTACACTATCATTCTCACACTGCCTCGCCTCAGATGCCATTCATTCTCTTTTTTCCACATAATTCCTCTACGAAGCTAATGTATGGAATCGTTAAGATGTACATTCATTATGCCTTGTTGGCTTTGTTTCAGTTTTTTCTTATCACAACGGAGTACTTTTTCATCTGTCAATGCTAAAAAGGGGTCTGTGTGTGCATGCAGTGTTTCCATGCCTCATAATGTGTGGTAATCTTGGTACGAGGGGCTGATGAAGGGGCACAGATAAGGGGATAGCACCAGGACATTAAACTGACTACAGGACTTCAAAAATACCAAGTCAATTTAGTCACTGTTTCCAAGTGGCCTACTTTTCACAAACCAGCAAGCACTGACTAGGGTCACAAGATAGAGAGAGCGCGCGACTTAGAGGAGAGAGAGTCAGTTCTTGCTGAGGAATCATAAACCATGCTTGAAGTGAAATGAACCGAGTACGCCTTTAAACAAAACAAAGTGGAAGTCCAAACCTCTGATCTCAGCTCTTAAAGTCTAAAGTAATATAACGATGTCAAACCGGCAAAAAGCTGTGGATGGCTTAAACATTAGGCGATATCCTCAGTTCCCACAAAGTGGTGACCTAGAAAGTTAATCTTTTCCAAGCAGACACAAACTCAGAGTCAAAGCGTTGTAGGCCCTCTGTTTGTTCTCTGTGGGAGGACAAAGCACTATCTTTTGATGATAGAGTCAAAATGCATTACTTCTGGTGTGGAAAATGTTTTGAAGCAATTCACTACGCTTTCTGTGTGAAAGCACTGAGCGAGGCAATGAGACGGCGACCAGCTAAAACCTCCTGACCGTCAGCTGATGTAAGAGAGGGGGAAAGCACCAGAAAGAAAAATAAAAGAATAAGAGAAGAAGCAGGAGGAGATATAAGTGGAGAAAGTGAGGGAGAGAAAGAAGAGAGAGTTTCTGTAAACCCTAAATTGAGAGGCGAAGTTAGCGTGCGCAGATGATTCCTAATAAGGTTGTAACTGGCAGCCTCAAACCTCTGTCCTGACGCTAGCTGCCAGGAAACTTTTGTCTGTAAGTCCTCTTCTCTGAGCGCTAAGAACAGAAACAAACACACAATCCACTGTGACCCACTATCCTCCCAAAAATGAACAGATAACATTAGACAGGGAAGCAGGAGGGTGAGTGGTTGTAGGACACGTAAATCTAATTCTGACCATCATACAGAAAAAAACAATGTGTTCTAGAAGAGCAACCTTTTATTGTAAGATTTGTTTAAAGCATGTGTAGTGTAGATAGAGTACATACTGTATGTACATGGTTTCAGGGTCTAGTATTGTGCATGATGGCTCACTCTCACTGGGACACTTTGTTAGAACAGAGCATTATCAGTTACACCTGTACGCTTACATTGTGGTTGTGCAGAGTGAAACGACCTGAGAGTGGCAGCCATGCTAAGGTTTTGTCCTATTTTCTAAATGCTAAGGAGCGGTGATTCAATTCCTTCTTCAATTTATTTTGATTAATTTTTTTATCTCTGGCATTAGGCCACTGGACCATTGGACAATCGTTGTACTATATTGCATTGAGTTTGTCATTGTGCTAATTTTCTATGTTTACATTTCATTTTGCTTCCAAAAAGCCTAATGTACTTGCAGTCAAGTTCTAACACAAGTGCTAATTTATTCTCCTTCATATCATTCCTTATTCTTGCTTTAAGAACTTTACATTTTCGTATTTTGTGTAATAATTTACAATGTTTCTGTCTCTCCACAGGCGAGAGTTGGTGGATGTTTGAATAACAGCCACAGGCTCACGATGGCTCAGGTGCTGCATATGGAGCCCGGCTTCCCAGGTGCACATTCTATTTGTTTTCATTAATATGACCCCGTCACATGATAATGAAGTTACGATATAAGTCTATCTTTGTTAAGATTTATACTATTAAACACCTTCTAAGTAATGTAATAGTTGTAACATCCAGACACTTATAAGGTCAGGTTATAGTCGCTGTGCCACTTCCCCCTGTACCTAATTTGCTGATTGTTTCAGAGTACATGTACAAACACACAGAAGCCCCAAAGTTAATGCTATTTTCTAAAGTCTGAGCCCAAGATTAGACGCAGATATCCGTTTGTTTAAAGTTGATTTCCTTCCCCCTCAGGGAAGCTCAACCCGCCCGCAACTCCTTCCCTGCACGGCAAAGAGCAGGAGGCCTACTCAGTGGAGACCCCCTATGGCTACCGTCTGGACTTAGACTTCCTCAAATATGTTAACGACATAGAGAAGGGAAACACTATCAAGAAGGTACCCGTCCACCGCCGACCACGCTATGGCTCCCTGCCCCGTGGCTATGGCTACACTGGCTCCTGGTGGACCTCCACAGAGTCTCTGTGCTCCAACACCAGCATGGACAGCAGACACTCCTCCTTCTCCTACTGCGCCCCGGGATACCACACATCCCAGAGGCCCAACTTCAGCACCGCTCGGGTGGAGAAGACCCTTATGGATGCACGCAGGAAGCTGGAGGAGGAGAAAGAGGGGCGGAGGTTCTCCAACCTGGGAAGCATGCACAGCAGCGTAGCAGGCTCCAACACCTCCATCAGCAGTGCACACAGCTACAACAGAGCCCATGGTGGAGGGGGATCCTTCACCCCGATGAGTTCTGGCCTGTCCACCCCAGTGACCCCCACACCAGCGCACCTGCAGCACGTCAGGGAGCAGATGGTTGCGGCTCTCAGGAAGATCAAGGAGCTGGAGGAGCAGGTGAAGACCATCCCAGTGCTGCAGGTCAAAATCTCCGTGCTGCAGGAGGAGAAACGGCAGCTCAGCGTCCAGCTGAAGAGCCAGAAGTTCCTGGGTCACACTCTGAGTTTCAACCGAGGCCGCCCCAGAGGAGAGCTCTACATCGACATCCCTGAAGAAGATGTGAGCACGGGGGCTAAGAGCAGCAACCAGCCAGCAGGGCCACTGTCCCCCACCTCACCCGAGGGCTCCAAGCTTCAAGACTCAGGATGTGAGATTGAGGACACAGTGATTGTGAGTGGAGCTCGACCGGATGCAAAGCGGGAAGTGCGCACCATCGCAGTGGGACCAGAAGAGTTGAGGGGCAGCAGTGAGTTGGGAGTCGGGGTTCGGGAGGAGGATCTGGGGCTGCTGCCAGAGACCCAGGCTCTTAGGAATAAAGTGGGTCAGCTGGAGGGCCAGCTAAAGAGGACGGTGCAGGAGCTGCAGGAGGCGCGGCAGCAGGCCGCAGCAGTCCAGAGGGGCCCTCAGGCAGAGCACCCAGTTATGGCTACCAGCGTGGGCTGGCAGGAGCCTCAGGGCTGCAGCCTGCACACCCTGGTCAGCTTCACCCAGCCCCCCCAACAGAGGGAACAGAGGACTGTGGGAATCCAGGTGTACACACTGGAGCAGCCCACTGTGGTGGAGGTGGGCACGCTGATGCGAGCGGAGATCTGCAGCTCCCCCTCCCCTCAAGCAGCTGCTGGAGCCGTGGAGGGCCAACACAGAGGACAAGCTGAAGGTCTCTAAAACTTAAGATCATAAGCACAATGTATCTAGGAATGTCCAATGTGGGTTTCTCCAGGTGATAACCAATGATTTGCTGCATCTCACGGCTGATACTTAGAAGAAAACCACTAATAATAAAACATTTTAAAAAGAAGTTTGTATTCTGTAGGTTATGCACACCCGAAGGTGACTTTTTGAGTGTGTAGATGCTGCACTTGTTGAGTCAATAGAATACTTTTTTTTGTATTAACAGCTATCATTTTATTATTGAAGAAATAATAGAATATATACATTTTGCATTTCCAGCTAATAATTAATTGGCACTGCGTTATATTGTGCATCCCTAGATTAAACACATTGCCATTGGATTGCATTACATTGTACTACTTTAACCAATAAGCAGGCAAGGATGTAAGAACTTGTGTTGACCCGAAAATTGTTTGATAAACTATTTCCATTTATTTAGTTGTATTCCTCCATAAAGTGTTTTATTAGTTATGCTGTAACGTTGATCTCTTCTCTCTCTCTCTCTCTCTCTCTCTCTCTCTCTCTCTCTCTCTCTCTCTCTCTCTCTCTCTCTCTCTCTCTCTCTCTCTCTCTTTCGCAGAGGCTCCAGTTGAGTTACCGATTGCCGTCAGCTCCAAGCAGGTGCGCGATGTCCTGAAGAGCGAGCTCTCCACCTCGGTACCTGTAGCGAGTCCTGCCATCACTGTCAGCACGGCCGGGGATCAGATTGGTTTGATGCATTCAAAAGAAGAAGAGACACACCAGCATACATCCAAAAAGGCTGCCGAGTCCCACGAGGACCCTCAGACAGGTAACTGGGCTGAACTCTCGACCATCATTCCTACTTTGTTCTTCCCTCGTCATGCCCCCACGGTTTGTATGATCACTGGGTTTTTCTTTCAGCCTCATCTCCCCAGTCTTCTCTGAGGTCTATTATGAAGCGCAAAGCAGAAGGTGAACCGGGATCTCCCACCACGAAGAAGAACCTGCAGTTCATTGGAGTCAATGGAGGGTATGTGTGTTTGCAGACCATAAAACTGACCTTTTCATGCATGGCACAAAAGTATTTTTATTCATATAAAACGGATTATAAGCTCTAATGAGTATGATGGTTAACAAATGATTTGGTTTGCGTAAGTATTTGTATATCTTGACCCATTAATGTACTGTATTCCTATGTCTTATTGTGTATATTGTTGTTGGCTGTAACTTCTATGCTGCTGTCTTTGCAAAGATCAACCCGTGTAAATAAGTTAATTGACCTCAACATAAATGTCTTGCAGCTACGAGTCCACGTCCTCAGACGATAGCAGCAGCGAGAGCTCAGATGAGGCGAGTGACTCCAGCGAATATCATGAAGCACGAGAAAAACTCACAGAGTCAGCGGCCCAGCACCAGCTAATAACCAACAGCCAGGCTTCCCCGCCTTCAGAAAGCAATAGAGTACCTCATCAGACTGCTGTCGTACTGCCAGCCATCATTCCAGACTCACAGCAGAGTCTCAAAGATTCAGCAACAGCCGACATGAAACTGCCGGTCAAACCCCCCCGGTCACCAGCGATAAACACTACTCTAATTCCTCCATGTCCACAGAATGATGCTGCCTCTAAAGACACTGTTAACCAATCATCAGGCACACTCACAGTCACGCAGGAGCTCTCCTCCACATCATCAAGCACTGAATCCACTCCCGAACAAAGCTCCTCAGTTACCTCTTCTTCATCGCTGTGTGTCACTAAAACCACTGAGATCACCCAACAGCAATACACCGTCCAAACAGAAACAACCGTCCTCTCCAGCCAATCGGAGCCAACGCCAGCAGTGGAGAGCCACGTAAAAGAGACTGCCACAGTACCTGCCAAGCAAGTCAGGTAAATATACACATAAACAGACGTAGTGATAAGTGGTGATGGTACTATCTAGGCTTTGTTCGATCTTTCAATGGCTGATGTTGTCTGTCTCTGTCTCAGATTGGATCTGAGTGACAGCCTGATGTCAGCTCTTCATGCCCTGCAGAAAGCCCTGGGGGAGCCCAATGCCTTCAGCCAACAAGGAGCAGTAGGTGTCCATTTAATCCACTAAATCAGTGTTTTCATTCCCTGGATAACACACTCGGTATCGATACTGCTTTCCAGGAGTTCCTTCTAAAAGCTATCACACTGGCAACAACATGCAGAAACACAATCAAGCAGTCCTTAAACATGTATTTTATTAAATCCACAGTCAAACAATTTGTAGAAAATGTGTTTACTATTGATTTGGTAAACTAGAGGTTATGTGTACTTTTAATTTACATTACATTACATGTCATTTGTTAGACGCTTTATCCAAAGCGACTTACACACATTCACTGCTGTGGACAATCCCCACAGGAGCAATTTGGGGTGAAGTGTCTTGCCCAGGGACACAACGACCTGCTGACTACAGTGGGACTCGAACTTGCTATCCCCTGATTCGAAGTCCAGCACACTATCCACTGAGCCACAGCCTCCCTAGATCTCTAAATGTTTGATATAGTCAAGAAATAAGTTGTAGTACAAAAAAACATGAGAAAAGAAAAGTGTTTGCTTTGCTAAGCTCTAGACCCAGTTATTTTTGTATTTCTTTAACAAACCTCTGTTTTTTATTTTGATATGCTGATTATGGCAAAGCTGCATGCCTGTGCTCTTGCATTTCCCCAGCAGTCTTTCAAGTGTGTTTGTGTCTCTAATTGTCCTCATTGTGTCTGTCTCAGAGGGCGGCCTACACCAGCGTGCTGCAGGAGTGGCTGCGCGTGTCCTGTCACAAAGCGGCGGACACAGCTGTTGTCAAAGCCTATATGAACACCTTCGCCTCAGTCTCCCCTCAGCTGCTGGAGTTTGTAATCAACATGGCAGATGGTAACGGGAATACAGCGCTTCACTACACCGTCTCCCACTCCAACTTCCCCGTGGTGAAGCTGCTGCTGGAAACTGGTGCGTGTCTCTGTCTATATATCTGTATGTGCGTGAGAGAAAAGTCAGACAAGCTTACCTAAGGGTGTGTATGTGGGTGGTATGGGCTCTGAAGTTAAGGATATTAACTCAGTCTCCAACAGGTTCCGTCTCCCTGTCATTGTTTGTGCTGCTGTTGTGTCACCTGTCTCACTGATTGGCCTCTATACCTGACAGGCCTGTGTAATGCTGACAAGCAGAACAAGGCGGGCTACACAGCCATCATGCTGACAGCCCTGGCCGCCTTCCACTCTGACAATGACCTTCAAACCGTCCTGCAGCTGCTGCGCACGGGGGACGTCAACGCCAAGGCCAGCCAGGTGCGCCCTCTACTGCTCATAATGTCTCACTGCACGTCCACACAACTAAATCCATTGAAAGAGCATTTATATGTTTGCTTTTGAGTTCTCTGACACATTAGAACGCTGAGTTTTAGCGTCCTGCAGCATGCAAACAAATGCAACCTGACAACCATTTAGCTCTGAAATAAGATGCACACTGTGAAAATGAGTCTCACGATGTGTGTTTGCAGGCCGGTCAGACGGCGCTGATGCTGGCGGTCAGCCACGGTCGCGGGGACATGGTGAGGGCGCTGCTGTCCTGCGGCGCTCAGGTCAACATCCGTGATGACGACGGCTCCACAGCGCTCATGTGTGCCTGCGAACACGGTCACGTTGACATTGTGCGTCAGCTACTGTCTATTCAAGGCTGTGATGCCACTCTCACTGACAATGTAAGCATATTTTCTTTCCGTCTTCCTTTCTCTGTCTATTTCCTTTTTTTATTATTGCAATCCAGTCCAAAAACTCCACATCCTTTCTGTTTTTACAGGACGGCAGCACTGCTCTGTCCATCGCCCTGGAGGCCAGTCAGAATGACATTGCTGTGCTCCTGTATGCTCACCTCAACTTTGCAAAGCCCCCTTCCCCTGTGAGTACTTTGACACACTGCTAACACACACTTACCGTGTCTCAATAAGGCACAGTGGAATGAGGGTAATAGGTAACTGAGATAGAGGAAGAAGAAACAGATTAAATGTTTCAAAAAAATTAAATACCAGCACAGAAAAAACTCCTTGAAAAGACAAACCGTCACAAATCGGATGTTGAGCTGTACAGTGAATACCGTTCAAGTATAATCTGAATTCTTGAAGTTTCACACTCTGGCTGTAGTGTTTCCTGCAGCCTTACCACAGCTGTGTGTGTAACTGTACAGAACTAGTTGAAATTGCGTCTGATCAACTATGAAATCTGAATCATGTTCTTGTTGTTTAATCCTAAACTAGACTGCATGGGAAAACCACAGGGATGAGTTGTGAAGTTTTGTGTGACATCTGGGAAAATCAAGTCTGTTGCATTACTTGGGTTGCATATAACAAAATGACGGAAACGTGTGCTGTCACGTTTTTTTCTCTAGTGAAATGTTAATGCTAAAAATGCAAGATATATAGTTTCAGTTTAATTTTGTTTTTCCTGAAGGATGTTGTTTTTAATTAGTGCATTTTTCACTCCTTTTTAGTTCTACTTTGCAATAATTAACCTGGAATATGGGATTCTTTTTTCACCAATAATACCTTGTTTTTTTTACTTTAGGTTTCACCAAGGTGTCCTCTCTTGGGTTCGTCTCCTCCTGCCGGTGAAGCAAAATAAACCCTGCTCCAGCCAGTCCACAGTAACTACTCATATTACAGCGTGATTTATTTTCCTCATCTGTGTTATTCAGAGAAACAATGAGTTTGTGTTTGTTTTCACCCTCCATAATTTAAATACTTTATAATGTGCAGATAATGACATGACAGCTTGCACCATTGTTATCCATTTCTCTTTGTACACTGAGGTCTTTCTTGCTTTAAAACAAGTACAAATATAAAAATGGAACATCTAGCACAGGGCTATTCAATTGGCGGCCCGCGGGCCAAATCCGGCCCCGGGGTGATATTTACTGGCCCTTTCAGTATAATGTTAAAAAGTNAGGTGGGGGGGGGAGAGAGAGATGTAGTACGGTTTCCTGATAAAGCTGTGGAGAGTATGTGCTGCAGGGAGGTGGATGCACAACGCACCCAGGAACGAACGCTAGCTCCGGTCCTTTTTACTGTGGACTCGATGTCCTGACAGGCTGGTATTTGTGCAACCTGCACAAACACAATACTGCACCATGATTACAAATGGTGAAATACAATGTAAAACTACCGAAAAATACCAGCTCCTTAAAACACAACCGCTCTACTCAACGCAACTCTACTATACCCGCGGTCAGAGAGCGGAGATGTGTCCCCTGTGTGATGTAATATGACGCGTTTGACGTATGACCTTAAAAAAAAGCCGTTTTTAAGAGCAGCGCTCAAAATTGCTCCTTTCCCTCTGAATTCCTGCCCTTATGTCTCGTAAAACATATCAAATCCTGCATTCACTTTTTTAATTGTAATTTTCAAGCAAGTTTAAGCATAAATGTAGAAAAAAAAAAAACCTGCAAGATGCTCTTTAAGCTATTCAGTGATAGTGTGTGGATGAGATGCTAACTTAGCCTTGATTAGCCATGTGTGTGTTTGCAACGTGTCTAATGTGTTTTAGCCTCAATTAGAATTGCTGTTGCTTATTATTAATAACCAGAGTCTAGTTAGTTATTGTAATGTGAACCTTATTTCTATTTCTGTGTATTTTGCAGAAACCATTCAATCATTCTACATTCATTCATCATTCAATACAGCTGTTGTAAGAAGCATTCAAGCTGAAATAAAGTCCAAAGACTGTATTTCCTGTCTCCGTGTCTACTCTCTAACCGGAGTGCTGTTTTTGGATGAAGCGGCTCCGGCACAAACATCACACAACATAAGATTCCCCAATAGTCATACTAAGCGGGATATTTTAAATTGAAAGAATGAACAGTGCTGAAAGCTTGCCATTTCTAAGCTTTTCTCTATTGCTTTTACCAAGCATTAGGCCAACCTGCAGAGCAGCACGAAGCAGTCATTATGTGTCATTTGTAAAGGTATATTTTTCCGTCTGGTTTTTAGTCCCAATCATGCCCCTGACACGTACGTGAGCTGTCACTGATGTGAGGCAACACTTACATGCAGAACACGACTCAACACGAGTGAGGACAGACAGAGAAACTCATCGAGTGTTGCCCCGTTTCAAATGGGGAAACACTCGTGGGTTTTTTTTCATGGGGAGTGAATTGAGTTGGAGGTATTGACTGGGAAAGTGGAGAAGACCAAGGGGGCCACTTCTAATCCTCGCTGACCTACTCTTATCACGTACAGCCAAGGTCAAGAGTCTAATGAGGATGGGACGCCATTAGAGCAATTAGACGGAACTACCTTGTTTCTGGGGCATGCAGAGCCACTGGAGAGGGAGGAAGAGGGTTAGAGCGGAGGAAGACGACTACAGTAAAGAGACAGACTGATGATCTGCAAAGCAGATGTCTCTCTCTCTCTCTCTCTCTCTGTCTGTCTGTCTCTCTCTCACCCCCTCCACCTCTCTTCACTCAAACACAGGGTAAGGCACACAGAGGCAACAGCACAGTGCTGCAACAGTGACACTCGGTGGTAAAGACAATCACTGGCATTTTCACGTGAGCACAGCCCTGGTTATTTCAGGAGAGATTACACAGAAGTGGAATGTATTCAGGTACATTTCTGGGGGAAATTATTCAAATTCATATGCAGATTTTTTTTGACTCTGAAAATGTATGAAGATGAATCATCGTGTCCAAAGAGCTCATACAATAATATATGAGGAATGTGTGTTCAAACGCACAAGCTGAAGAAGCTCCCATTAGAGCAGGCATGGACAATGACCACATAGACTTAGCAGAAGCAATTGATTCATTGGTAAGAAGTCAATGTGTCATTTCGATACGATATACTTTATTGTCCCCGTAAGGACATTTGTTCTGGACTCCGTCCTGCAGTTCCGCATACATGTACATATACAAATATATTAAACATTAAAATACACACATATCATCAGTCATACACCGTTTGAACAAACACAATACACAGACGCACATACTGACAATGGCGACCTATTGCACAACCCTCATGGCCAACATTTTAAAAGTACATTTCATTACATGTGGATGTTAAGAATAGGCAGAGTGCTTATTTAAGATGGCAATTGTGCAGAAATGCAACATAATGACTAAATCTGCATCTCAAATCTGACAATAATAGTATTTAATTAAGTTCACATGTGAAGCATCATCCCAATTGCAATAAGGTCACAAATTATTCTCTAGTATATTGATGAGTCAGTGAGAAAAACAGAAAGAAGATTCCAAAATTTGAATTCCAAAATCAAAACACATTTTGTGACACTAAATCATCTGTACAGCAATACTATCAGGCAAAGTGCTTACATAAAACATTCTTCTTAATTATTAATAATACTAAATTATTTCTATAATAAAAAAATGTTCAACAGATTCATCCCTAATGAAAACTCTTCAAACCTTTTTAAGATAAGATAAAGTGTATTGATCCCAACTTGAGAAATGTTTTCATTGCAGCAGTATAAAAAAACAGGGCATTGCACATAATTAGAAATTAAAAAGAGTAGAAAATAAACAATTATAAAACATAAACATCTTGACTGTTTTTAGTTGTTGACTGTGAAGATGCAAATCTGTGAAAGACTTGACAAATTAAATGCTATATTGAAGGGACAAATTGCAGCCAACACAATATAAAAGTAGGATATTATTTACAAAAAATCACAAAATGTAGAGGCATACTTTAAAATGTCTTCACTATTTTTGTTTGGGTTGAATGTTTTTGCCTTAAACAATCCCAGTGAACACACACCCCCCTGAGCTGTTGGTTTGTGTGGCATCACTGCTGATAGATGGATGCACTTTTCCTCTTTGTGACCATGGAAGACAGAAGCTGCTTCTTAATGTAGACAAAATTGTCCTGGGGGCATAAGAATACATTTGCAAGCTTGAACCGGCTCGAACACAGTCATTTTCTCCTTTGGTGGTAGATTTCTGATGTTAGCAGCCGCCGCTGATTCCAGGAACCCTGTGGAGGAAGTCCAATCCTCTGAGCACTTGGAGAGCCACTTTGATTGAAAACGTGATTACTGACAGTAATGCAGGAAATGACTGTGCCGATCTTCCTGAGGTGACAGAAGTAGATATGTTTTCGCAGAAATAATACATTTGGTTGTGTTAAACCTTAGTGGGCAGTGCCACATACACAGTTTGTGCCTGAATATTTAATGTATTATCATTTCAACTACCTACTTCTAATGCCTATGACCTGAAAAGTATTTTAATAAGGCAATCTAATTAGCTAAATCGTTTAAGGGGCCCTTTCATGCTTTCGGAGGCATGTCTCCATTTCTTGTGACATTTCTCCATGTTTTAATATTCAAAAAGGTCTTTACATTTCTCCCACTGGAGGGAACTTTGCAATTGTATCCTTTGCAGACCATTTACATGCACTAAAACCTATATACTGTAACACTTACAGGCAAGGCACAACCCCAGCAAAAAAAATAGGACCCCTTAAAATTGTTAACAAACAATTATTCAATATTTATATATATTTGTGTTATCCTTTTTAGATATGTTGTGTATCTCTTCTATGTTGGGATACATTTCATTAATATTTCAATTATGACTTTGTTCAGTCAATAGTTTTATCTTTCTAGATTGTCAGAAAAAATAGCATCACATCTGAGATGCTCTAACCAGCGAACATTTGGAAATAAGAGTCATGCTAGCATCATGTTTATAAATAATTAAAATATACTATTATTTGGTTAATACACCTAATACCAGCATTATTCTAGGGGTGGGACGTTATATTAAGACACTCACAATTAAGTGTATCACGTTGAATTTCAGCTCCTGTGATAATCATAAATATTGATACATGAGTAAATTTGAAAAACTGTCTAAATATCAGCGTAGTGATGGGAAATATTGAGCCTGACTTAACAATAAAGGAACTATCATGTAAAAAAGAAGTTAATCACACATTGTTTCTATCTTTTGAATACTTTAATTATGATTTATTATAACCTTATCAATGATTGTTTGAATTATGCTCAAAAAGGAGGTAAAGGAAAACAGTATGGTTAATATGATGAGTTGTTTTTATTTTGGCCGGGACAATTTTTTAATAAAATTGTCATATAATCCGATGCCTGTGTTCATCAGCCTCAGCTGTGACTGTGTTAGCATGCTGGCATTAGCATTTATCTCTTAGCACCACCATGCATCCTCACAGGGCTGCTGCTGTGGCTGCAGACTCTTGAAGAATTTGTTGCTCGCCGAATCACATTTTCTTTTAAGTCGATTAACTTCCTATTGATCGATTACCAAACCAATTGCGGCACTAATCCTCTGCCTGTCAGACTCCAGTCCATAAGCTTTTCTGACAGGTATGAGGCCGTTTGTTGGAGGGGTGCGGTTTCATTTCTTGGAACACATTTCTCAACAACTTTGTGAGAGAGGAAAAAAGGCCAATGCTGCCAGAGGGATGAACCACACTCACTCAGGGTAGTGGGGGAGAAAACGATGTTCGCAGTCTGCTATTATGGACAATGTCCCCCACCCTCTTGGTGACAAAATGTCAATGAAATGGCGCACTTTCAGTCAGTAGCTCTTTCCACTGAGGCGTGCCAAGAAGCTCTTCAGGAGTCCGTCTGACTGCCCTCCGCTACAATGCCTCCTCCCTCTACTGCAGGCCTTTCATTTTTTCTTAATCTACTTGCTTGCAGTCGGTCATTTACTTATTTCTCCAGTGGCCATGATTTCATCCCCTCACATACAAAAACACAAAGCTTCTCCATACTCTTAACACCAGCTCTGTCCCCTGTGCTGGGCTTAACAGTGCTCTTGTTCTTTGTGTCACTCGTTTATTAGCGTTTGTTTCTTGATGTAGAGCTCCTTGTGGATCCCCGAAGTTATTCACTGACATAATAA